TAGGATTTAGGTTCAGGGTTACCACTTTGCTCAATCGGTTTACTTTTCTCTTCATCTTTGATTGGTTGAGAATGTACATGTGATGCGATATCTTTCTTGGTAAGGGATTCCATTGAATGCAGTTGTTGCACGCTCATTCTTTAGTGTTTCTCCATATTGTAGTATAGGTTTGATATTCTAAAGAATGTACAACTTATGGTGGATATCATTCTGCTCAGTTGGTTTATTTTACTCTTCACTTTTGGACGCTTGAACATGTACACGTGATGGGATCCAAAATGTTTCTCACTTTTTTTTTCGTATTTGGGTGCTTGAACATGTATACATGATATTATCATGAATCATTATGCTTTGTCGTGATCTCTTTCCTACGTGTTGGGCACTCCGGACCTCTCCCCTGTCCGTTCGAGTGTCCTCTTCCGATGGAGGACTCAACGACATATTATTCTTCATGAACATATCATCATTTGACCTTAATAACTGCCTTGAGATGATTATTGATGATTGATAAGTGTTAATGTCTTCTTTAAATTAAAAAAGACTTGAGATTTCAAAATGTTCAAATTTTTTCACCTATATAAAAGACATCTTGAGAATCTTTACCTATTTGATAGATCCAATCATGAATCTTGACCTCCAAAAGATGTGTTGTTAAAAAATATTTCAGATTCATTTCTTGTATCTAGTCGTTGCAGTAGTCATTAATGTTGGCATCAAACCTTTTGATTTTCACTCATAGACCTATAGTTACGTGTTGTTAGTGATATTATTCAAGAAATGGATGACAAATCATCAAAAGTAGATATTGTATGTCATAAAGTAAGCTTCTTCATATACAATAGCTCATGTTGGAGTATACATGTGATCCATCTCCTAGCAAGTAGTTTGTTGATTGGTTATTATCCACATAAATTTTCAAAAGTTTCAAAAGATCTGATACATGGGACATATGAAGTGTCACATTTTCATCTCAAGAGATTCATCATGGATAACCGAATGGAACAAAGTGATTTCTGTTTTGGAAATTGTTAGTAAATAAGATTAATTTGCAACATCATCATTCGAGTTGACAAGCTTAAACAACAATAACGGCCGATTCAAAAAAAATGTGACTTTTATCATAAAAAGTGTAAGTGCATAATAATAAATTGTAGCATCATACTTCAATTTAACAAACTTCAACCGTTTTACATATACATATATATCAAATGATCTTATTTCTGCGATTCAATTTGACCATGTTAAAAAAAAAATACATTTGAAGTAATAAAAAATTCATGAAATCAATATTCAGACAACCTAAAAAAATAAAAAATCTTAAACAAAATATGTGCATTTAAAATTGGTTTAGCATACTTTATAAAAACTTTTAACAGTTTCTGGTGTAAATTTTCAACATTATCATATTTACAGAAATATATCATGATAAGATGATGGAATTTTTTTTCATTTTCTTTTTTGTTGATAAGAATAATACCTCTTGTCATAATTACTTCATTCCTGTTAAATATTTTACATTGTAATTAATTCTAATTATAAATTTGAACACTCAAATTTGAAAATATTTTAGGTTATTTTTTGAAAAAATAATACCAATCAAACCTTGATAATTTATGAATAAATGATTTATAAAATAATTTTTTCAAAAATTAATCTTAAAATCACACATATTTTCTATAAGTATTTAGATTTATGATTTGCAATATCAAATTTTTTGTGTGTATTGCTTTTTCATAATACATAGGTAGCAAAATTTTAATTCCATTAAATCCAAATCAGTAAGAAACTTGTTTTACTGGGAAATAACAAGTATCTTTTATTCATGTTTTTAATCCTAGATGACATATGTGAACCAACTTAAGTCAAACATCAATAAAAATATGATACTTTTTTTATATTAATTTATAGTAAGTTTATGCTTCTGTTCATTCCTTAAATTTTAAGAATTTCTATTTCAGTTTTTTTAAATTTCATTATAAAAAAAATTAATGTTAAATAAACTCAAAAAAGATAAATCAAGAATACATATTTACATCTACATTGACAAGTCATGTCATCTGCAATAAGCCTCCATATTCTTAATATGATCCAAAGTTAATAGAATAATTTGTTGCAATTATTGATTAAAACTAGATGCAACCATATTGAAGTTCTGAAGGAAATGTTCACTCTATCACATGAATTTCGGTATTGCTTTCGAGTTTCACCTCAAATCTCAAGTCAAATCTTGATATAGTATAACAAGACTCACCACTTGAAATCCCTCTCCAATATATGCGCGAAGAGTACCACTAATTCAAAATCCTCAACAAGATTGAGTGATCCAAATCCTTCTTGTACTTTTCACCCTCTAATACCAATATTTTTTCCGCATAGACAGTCAGAATTGACCAAAAAAATTGTGGCTGTGTATCTTGGCTAGACCATGCATTAAGTCTTTCAAATTTTCATCAATTATTTTCTCTTCAATCAAGTGATTTTATCTTCGTTGACCTATCCGCACACATTCTAATTATTTACAAAATTCAAGTGATTGTGATATCATATTAGATTAACGGGGTGTTCTTATACATAGCAATTTATTTGTAAGAAAGGATAATATTATCTGTGAGGTTATTGAAAATGTGGTCATAATTATGATGCAAGATCAATTATTCGTGTCTTGCAATTGAATGAAATTACATTAAACTTATCTTTGGCTCAAGAGTAATAAGAGTGATTTTGCATGCATGATGATTGTGGATCGTATAAGTCACATAATATGTGATAACCATCCTCATGTGACGACGAGTGAAGTGCTAACCGTCAAAAAGCTAGGAGAGTTCATATTTGTTGCTCTAGATTTTTAATATAACAAGCTAAAGGTATTGATCGGTGAAAACTGGTTCTGTATGTCATTTTAGGTTTTATATATCCGCAATTCCGAAGAATTGTGGTTTGGTGATGAGCAGGAATTTGTGGTTGCAATTGGTCGTTACCTTGCAAGCAATTCCCAAACTTCAACCTGCCATCTCACTTTATAAGAGGCCAGGTGCTCCTCCACGAATTGTCCTATTTACAACCATCCCAAGAAAAAATAATTCTGATTTGGAAATTCCGATTTTCCTTGGGATGGTTGTAAATAGGACAAACTCAGAACGGAAAGTTGAGTCGGTTGTTCAATGAGCCGTATGAAACTGGAAGCTGCTCGAATTGAGAACAATCTCTTAATGGAAGGTTTAGCATCTCAATGGCGGCTTCCTATTCTGATGTGGGGCTGCTGACGCCATATGCTTCGAGTCCCATAGTTTGTTGCGATGAGTCTCGGCTTCTAAAATCGAGATGGACTGTTTGTACAATTTGTTAGATGGACGAACTATATCAATCCTTCACTGTGCTGCTGTGCGCGGTGTTGAATTCATCGCCGTGTCTTCGCTTGCCGTCCTGCACGACAGCCTCGACATGTTGAAGCAGTGCAAGTGCAGGTCATGGCGAGGGCTATGTACGTGCGCATGTCTGGTCTAATTTCGGTCTATGTTGTCTGAGGCTCAATGCAAGAATCATGTGGACGGCCATGACAGCTGTCGTCATGGCCGGGCCTGTGACCCAGAACAACTGAGACCCCGCCACGGGGAGTGATTCATCATGATTCGACAGGGGGCCGCTTTGGAAATCGATTCAGGGCGTTCTCACCGCTTGTTTCACGGCTCCAATCGTCACCAAAGCCTACAGCAGCACCACAGTCGATAACCTTGACGAGGTCTCGACAACAGCACAAGTTCATGACCTCCTGGAATTTGCACAAGCACTAGATACAACGTGGTCTTTATTCTCGTGCTGTTTTCTCTTTCCCACCCAGGTGTGGCACCATTGGCTTTTCATGGGTTTTTTAATAAAATCCGACATCGAGGAATGAGCGAATTTTAGGTTGTAATAGGTTTCAATACCTAGTATGTTAAAGCATATTCTTAGCATGCACACAGCTTGATGTTTTGTCTTGATGCACCCAGCTCGTGCGCCTCGACGACGATGACCATTGTGAGAGTGATGACAGCAGTGTGGACGATTCCGGTCAATCCGATGGCATTGAGGAATATCCCTGACCCAAGTCTCAACCTCTATGCCTCGTCTGATAAAACCTGGGTTTCAATAGGCTGAAATCGGGTTGTTTTGATTAAAAGATAAAACCCGATTGTCTCGACAAAAATTCGGGTTTTTCTATCACTGTTCCAACCCAGAAGTGAAAAGCTGCAATGTCCCAAGCTTGAATCCCATGCTGTTCAGTTATCCACTTGGTCCTTAAAAACCACCGTACTGTTATTGTAAGCTCTAGCATTAGAGCTCCTGATCCAGGCTACTGTACTAACGAAGACGTCATCAAGTTCGAGGTTCCGGAAATGATGATGCCGCTGCAAGTTCCGTCACCTCCTTTCGTGTTTCAACCGTGCATTGTCGGAGCGACAGAAACTAGCAAGTCCGCCACGGATCTTGAATCCGCAGATGTGGTAGCCTTGCCCTCAGGATTCCATTTGAGCTGACGTCGTTGGTCCTGACGAGGAATAACGCAGTCCGTGCACTGAAGGACGCCTGTGGGACGTCGTGACTGCATCCAGAGAGTCGGCAAGTTCCAGTGCATGGGGGTCGAGTCGGGCATGGAAAGCCGGTAGAGCACTCCTGGCCACGTCGGTTTCCACGGCTACATGGGTCAATCTTTGGGCAGGGGTGAGCCCATGACGTCGAAAATTTGTCTGGTGATCTATCTATGCTTGCTTAAGGCACTAGTGTCTCAAATGTGATTTACGATGACTGGGGTTGCTGTCCACAAACAGGAAAGTCGGATGACTAAATTCTTCTATTGCTTATTTGTAAACTTCTAACTACATCGAACGACGTGTTATATTCTTCCTGTTATATGATTCCTGTGAACTAATAGTCTACGAAAAATTAAGTCGACTGTTATTATGTTTCAAACTCGCACATTTTACTCAAATTATGCTATTGATCTAGACAAAACGAATATCCCCTCAACAAGAACACTGGCTGGGTATTACAATTTCCTTGTGATAAGAATGAGTACAGTAACTTACTCGTAGACTAAATACTGGAACGGTGATTCAGTTCTTTCGAATACAGGTACCCAACATGGATAAGACAAAAACGTTCCACAGAAACGTTCCACGTTCCGGCTTTACAAATGTACATTGTGGTAGAAGGATTTCATCGTTTGATGTCATTGATTCTGGAAGGGAATCGTACGTTCGATTGTACGTGCTTAGGGCAATCCCGGGCGTCAACCACATCGGAGAACTAAGAGTAATGAAATCACACTCCCGTAAACCACCAGGGAAATAAAAATTGAGAGCATCTGTGATGATAACTAACCAAAATCATTCAGGTTGGGGATGTACTTCCCGAATCCACGAGAGGGCTAGCAAAGGGGCACGGACGTGTCGAGGGACCTTGAGACATAGGACGGCCACTTTGTCGTGTTAACAAATAGTGAAGGCCTCCCAAGGTTGAAGGCATGCCGAGCCTACCAGCTCACAACGTAGCCAGACAGGCAGGTTCCGTGTGTGTTCTAGTCGAACAGTTGAGTAGTTAATTACAAGGAAAGGTTTGGCCAGGTTGGTGCGGAGCTATAGTGAGGAGCAGGATTCGCACCGCCCCACTCTACTGCACAAACGAGTTGACTTGAGCAGCCCGCCGCTGATCTACTTAGCGTGCGTCTGAATATTCTTTCCATCGATGGAAAAATTATTCAGCTGTGAGAAGACGTCAACTCCACAAGCAAAAGACGAAGACAATGGACCACACTTGTTACACGGTTTTGGTCATCACAAACGACTTCTTATAAATTTACCCTCTCCCGCAACAGAGTGCTTGAGAGCCATTGATTTCTCGGTGGGCTGTCTAGAACTGAGCTGAGCTAAAGCCATGTCTCGCACTTCGTCTTTCTTTACTTTCCCTGTTGTTGTGACAGGGAACGCTTCTTCTTGCATCAAGATGAATTTTGGGACCTTGTACCTGCACAAGGAAAGGTGCACAGTCGTCAGGCCAACGCTGAACTAAGCTTCCGCGTTTGAAGAAGATCTCCAATCAGACAAGACAAGAGAGAGATGAGTTCCAAACAGAACTTTCAACGAGAGAGTCATGAAAAGAGAACATGGCTCCACCATACGCCTGGGCAGTGTGTCACTCTCACTCATTCTCTTAAACGGACATTGCAGAAGGGAGATTCGAACCTTGAAAGACCCTGCTGTTGACAGTAACTGCGAAGCAGTTTTTCGCCGGTTCTTTGCTTCGCAGTCATTGCATCTTCCGCCTCCATCCTTCCATCACACCACACCCAGTCAGGCTTTAGCCTGACCATGGCGGTCACAGCTTCACCTAGTCGGTGATCAGGCACTCCAACTACAGCGGCTGATGACACTGCAGGATGCTTCACGAGAAGCCTTTCCACCTGAACATCAGAACAGGAAACTATTCAAAGTTTGTACAAAAGGACAGGTTCAATAACTCATTGACTAAGTTGAATGCAAACTCCCTGTGCTAGTGTATATTCCACTTTTCAAACGCTTGCATTTTATCTTGCTTAGTGTAAGACAGGAACGCTGATCATCTGAATGGAAAAGAAGGTCAGGATTGCTTAGGTTTCTAAGAAAACCAAGAATTAGGAGGAAGAACCTGATTCTGGAATTTTCTCACAAGCTACTGTTGTCAATGTTATAAAGCTATATTTTGACATCATCAACTAAGTTGCAAGAAGGCATAATTGAACTCCTCCAGACAAAGTCTCAAGCAGCCGTCATATGTGCTTCGCACGTCACGTCAGACCTCTTTCTTCTAGCTTTCAAACAAAGGTAGACTTTTCCATTGACTCTTCCTGCGTCCGCATCTTCAAGATCTTTTTCCTGATGTGGAGTTAAGTACAATAAAAAAATTGTTAAATAGACTGGGCTTACCTCAGATGCATACACGTTCTCCCCTCCACTCTTTATAACATCCTTTTGTCGCCCAAGTAGCCATAACCTGCCAGCTTCATCCATCCAGCCCACATCTCCTGTGTCTAACCATCCGTCTGCGTGCAGAGCCTCTCTTGTTTTATCAGGTCTTCCCCAGTAACCCTCCATCACGTGCGCACCTCTTGTCAGCACATTACCTACGACTAATTCCTCTTCGCTCGACAGAGCTCTATCCCGAATCAGTGATTGTGATTGTTTTGAGCCTCCCAACGCAAATAGCATTTTGCGAGTGCTGTCCCAGAATCCTGGCAACCTGCTGTATCGAACAACACAGTCGTCAATGAATGCCAACGGCGCGTGCAACGACCTGTACCGTGTTAATGAACGATTCATCTACATAATGTAGTTTATACACCACCTACGGTCCCTGTGTAGGAAAATTAAAAATAACCGTCCAAATTGAACGGTAGGAGTTCTTCCTTGATTCAGGCTTTCTTCACAAAATCGAGGTGTGCCCTCTTGAACAGACATGGGTTTGTGAAATTTGGATCCCAAGAATTTAATAAAAATGAGATACAAGGAATTATGCACTAGTCTTAACGAAATGCTTGTCTTTGCGATCAAGCTGTTTGGACACAAAGAGGTATTTGTTAGACGTCTACAACAGAGATGAAAACCATCAGACTGTGACTCCCGTTGGTTATAGATTACTGTATACACATTTAGAGACCGAGTACAAAGTGTTCAGTACAAGCCCACGAGGGTGAGACTGACATTAGAAAGGTGTGACAGTGCATTTAAGCCCTACTGTGAGCTGCATATGACAAGTTGCATAGAAGGAATGCAAAATAAAGCAATGACGTAATTGTACATGTATTTCAAATTATGTGTCGCATGCCTACCTACTGCTTGATTTGCTGTCAGGTCCCTTAATTTCCATGGAAGTAAAATTCTTGGCGATAATTCCAGGTAAATAGGACTCTGGTTTTCTTGTCAAAATTTGAATCTCCACATGTGGAGCGGGCTTTCCCACACAGACACCGCCCTTGTGAAATGTGTGCCAACTTTCCGAGGACTTCGGTGTTCGATTGAACGATGTCAGATTGTTGTAGCTTTCTGGCGCCGATTTTTGTGGATCGTGGATGAGCAGAAAAGTCATAGACGAACAAGCTTCTGTCATACCTGTAATGAGGCAAACACTCAAACTAATCAGTCTCTAACAGAGCCTGGATAGTATTTCGAACAGTGCAGGCTACGTTAATTCATCATTAAGGCTGAGTTCAGAAATCTAACCGTATGCTGACATGATCTTAGCTGAAGGAAATATGTCCTGCATGGCTTTAAGCTGATCCTGCGAAAGACTCCCCGCACCGTTGAGGACTGTTCTCATGCTGGAAAACGTCCTTGGCCTAACAAATTCACTTGGATTTCTGCAGAGAGAGGAAATTGATCACTTGAACACAACTGTCACTGAACAAAGTCGTGAACATGGACAAGATCGTAAACACGTGAACAAAGTTCTGGGGTGTACATTGCCTAACAGATGACCACGATTGAGCAGCTCTTCAATGCACAGCCCTGAGTTTCACCTTGCTGAGTTGTAGTGGTAAGACGCCATATCAGACACCAAGGATGGCACGACAATCATAGCCGTGACGTTGTGTTCCTCGATGGAACGAAAGGCAGCTTGAATTTCGAACTTCGGCAGCAAAATGTGACAACCACCTACCATAACTATGGAGAGAGCCGATGATATCCCTCCAATATGACACAAAGTTGCCACATGAAGGTAGGTCTACAGGAACAAGGCAGAACATAAGTGAGTAATTGTTAAGTAGGTTCCGAGGTCGATGGTTTTCGTCCGATGATAATACCTGCTACAAAGATAGATAGCCCCCACCTGCTCATAACTAAGCCAATATCAATCGCCTAGTTATTCGGAAAAACGAGAACACCCACTGTCTTTGAAGAGATATATGGTATCAAATAGTCTTGAGAAGCCATTGTATATGTCAGCCTGCTTTGACACGTTGATGATATAACTTCTAGTCTTACAGCTAAGGACATACAAATGGTGGATACTAATTACAAGTTTTCCGATATGTAAGCGAGCAGTTTCCTGACTTGTTCAAGCAAGAAAAACATACGTCATTTGAAGAATAGCCAACTTCGGTAATTTTTGCCCGCGACTGGACATTCAGGGCAGTGTGACTCAAAGACACACCTTTTGGTCTACCCGTCGTTCCTGGAAAGTAGTAAAGTACAACGAAAAGAACAAGAAAGTGAAGGTTTGAATGACAACGAATACATGTTCGCACTTAGGCCTCAATGGAAAAACACTGTTTAGCAAGCGCCCAAATTGCTATACTTCAGCATATCACTTCCGTCTAGTTACGAAGTAGATGAACTGAAGAGCATGTTTATAAATCGACTATATCGAATTATATAGTCCAAGTACGCACGTACACGGGGGAAAACCAACAGAGAGGTGAGTGACTAACTGAAAAACGCATAGTTACAGTGAGAGGTATGAGATATCAATTATAGATTTGTTTAAGATCTTGATCGATAGCATACGTTTCAGCGTCTCACAATCCTATTGTTTTGAAGGACAAAGTTGCAAACCTGAAGTGAAACAAATCAGAGCGATGGAGTCTGGTGAACATGCCAACTCTAGCTCTGGTTTAGGGCCCGCAAGTTTGATGATTGACTCTGCATCAATCACTAACGCAGATTACCACGAGTTAGTTGTTCATTTAGACGGTTACATACATGTGCAAGAAAGTTGTAGCCAAGCTTCAAAGTAAGCAGAGCAAGCCGATCATCCTGGTTATTGCAGGATTATACTCAGTGTACATGTTCTTACGCAGGTTTCAATTATTACGGTTCCCATCAAGTTTCTTTAAGTTTGGTATTCTTAACTCAATGCATTCATGATGGCTTCCACTTTGTTGACTATTTCTCTGTGCATCATGCAACTGTAAGTTATGTAAGAAAGAATCCATTCTTATTGTTCACAATTAAGACTCATTTTGAAAGACATGAGGCTTCACATGAAAGTTAAGTATAGAAAGGGAATTGATTTACGTACAGAAGCTGTTAATCTGAGGTCCTCCGCTACCGAGACGAACTAGCCACTTCAAGGACGGGCATAGTCTTAGTAAAGCAGGGCACCATCCCACACATTGATGGTCCACAACCAGCAAAGATGCACCGACCTCTCTTATGGCTTCACTGGCTTCTTCCACACTCTGGACATGGTGAGTCGAAAAATCAACTTCCCTTGGCATCTTGAAAGATGAACCTCATTTTTTCAAAACATTATTCCACTTTTCCAGATGGCAAAAGCTTTCGTGCGCAAAACCAGCATCTGAAACATACATTCCTGGCCAATCCAACAGCCACGTGAACCTAAAACATTCTGATGACAGTGAAAATAAAATGATGGATGGCTGCCATTAGGCATTAATTTACCCATCGATGATTGAGTGGAGCAATGATACAACCGGCACTTGGCACTGCCAGCAACCACTCAAGGTACCACTCGCTGCAAAAAGAAAAGCCAACATCGAGCCTTCTTGAGCACACAATATTCAATTGCATGGACATAAAAGAGTCATAAGGAGGGAGGTGTAAAATTCCAGAACTGACATTTTCCAATGGTGAGCTACATGGTCTAAGAGGTTCTACTCTTTAGAACATTTTAAATTCTATTTGCTTACAGGACGCACAGAATGGCCTCATTGACTCATCTTTCAAAATATTTTGAGAATCTGTCTCCACAGACCTCAGATTCATGTCTTCGACGAAGAAAGAGCTGCTGCTAGCCAACCAGTCAGTTCAGTGAAGACAACCTCTGCAATGGAGATGTACCTACAGGACCTCATCACCATGCCAGGCGCATATGCGGACGTGGGAAGACTGCCATGGCAAGAGCTTGTCTTCACGAAACTGTCTGATCATGCAATAGATTTCGTTCCTCGTCTTTCATTTCCTGCATACCTGCTGGATATGGCAAGGAACCTGTGACTTGCTCGACTAAAGTTTGAGCGAGGCATTGTTCTAACCTGTTCAATGCGGCAATACAAGCCCTGTCTCCGGGCTGCAATCCCAGACGACGCAGACCGATTGAGAGACCCGCAATGCGGTCAACGAACTCAGCTCCGGTCTGCACTCTCCCTTCACAAGCCGTGGCGACATCCCGTCCTCTTGCCGATTTCAGAAAGCGAAGAGGCTCGCCGATATGAGCTGGAAGCACCATCGTTTCGGAGTCCCTCTTTCGGCAGAGGGACTCCAAAACCCTGCACGGTGCTCAATTCTGCGCGCGTTTTAACCTGCACAAAAGTTCTTCTCACCATAAGCACGCACCCGTCGACACGACCACAATGACATCTGCCACTCCCGGGGTCCCTGCATTCTGAAGCATCTCCAGAATATCAGGCCTCGCAAATGCACCAGAATCGGGAAAATGGATAATTTTGAGGACAGTGACCAATCGCCACAACCTCAGCTTCCGTTCCCGCCCAGCTCGACTCTCCACAATCCACACCCAAACAATGCACAATGCACGATGGACAATCGGTGACATCAAGAGAATTCCTGTCCATCACCGAAATTCAAGAAATGCAAGAGTAATTCGAGTTCTTCGAGAGCCTACCAATGCTGACGGACGATCGGGCGCCCGCGAATTCGATGTTCGTCATGAGAGCGCTGGCGACGGAGCCAAGGCCGAGAAACGCTCGCTCTGACGCTCCAGACGCTCCGACGCTGCAGCCTCGCCTCGTCTGCGGGCGACGACGACGAAGCCATCGTCGGGTCCGACGGACCAATCGCAGCCGGATAGGAGCTTTGTCCAGTTGGCACCCGCGGGCTCGCTCTCCTTCTCTCTCTATCCGGAGCCTGTTCTCCTACCGCGTTGTGCAACTCTACCGCGGGGCCCTTCCCTCACTGACCTGGTTGCCCTCCGCGCTGCACGTCGCTCACAGCCTTACGGTGTAGGCTTCCGGTCGGTTTTCGGGGTTCCTTGTAATGGGAAAATAAAATATAATAGAATAAAGCAACATAGCATAACCACGACTCGCGTGTGCACACGACTTAATGAGCATATGGTTTCGCATGTTCTCCAAATGATTACAATGATGAGTTGCAGCTAACGAATTTAGCTCACTAAAATTATGGCTACTCTCTGAGTGCAAATCAAAAATTGTATGTATGATAATTGCTATACTAGAAAATACACATATTTAACTAACGTTCTTCATAGTATTTCAAGGATTCATGAAGAATTTGACATACCGTGTAGGTTATGGTAAATCAAGGAGTTATTATCATACCAAGTTTTAGTTTGTCTCGAAGTATGTGAAAATATGTTAGCTACTGTAAATGGTTGATGCACTGTGTTATGAAAATTGTAAATTACTGAATGAACTGATTATTTTCCTATATTCCCCGTATTATAGTAACCTTAGGGTTTATCTCCTCTCATGTTTTTTATCATTTGCAGTAAAATCTTTCTTATTTAGGCAAATGTTGAAATAAACAACGAATAATCTTGTAAGTTTTCTTGATATGTGCATTAGTTGGTCATTGGTGATGAAATTTATATACAAGTGTTTGGCATGTATGCAGATTACTTTTCTATGTGTCAGTCATGCAATTGACTTGATGTTCTCGACGAAGATGAGTCTACCAGATACCAGCGTCTGGTGACCGGACAAGGGATAGCAAAAATCATGAAAAGCATATTACACAGTTTGTAGTTGACAGTATGTCGATGATATTTTGATCTCAATATGATTTCTTTAATTCCGATAATATCAATTTTTTAATATTTGGTCTGTCCATTTCCGTTTACATATCATATATCTTATTCGTTATCTATAGCTATGAAGTAAATTTGGTCGACACACTGACATAAATGACGAGCTGGATGAAAGTATTAACGTGATCATCTTCTAGTTTGCATATGATAAGAAAAAGTCTATACTTTCTCCCATATTTATCTTGGGTAAATACAACATGAGATGACCTCGACTACGATTAGGATATTGAGATTATCAGCCTTCAATCACACCCTCTAGTTGAACTTTGTCTCGAACCAATATTTACAACCCTGCGTTTTCAGATGTCGACAGTACTTAAACAAACAAGATTCGCTTATACCCCTAAATAAGTAGGCCAATCTTAGTCGATATTTGAAAATGATAACCAGTTTATGGAATTTTTGTTAAACCAGGTTAAAGCTTATCTGTTGATAAAAGGTACCATGAACTCTGTAACGTGGTGTGCTCTGGAGCAACTACGCATTACATTATAATGCAACTGGAAATATACGCTCCGCTTATTTGCTGAGCGGGCCGGGCCGGGCCGGCGGGCCGGGAATTGTCACCTGGATCCCAGAACCCGGCCCAGGCCCGATCTATGAAACAATCAGAATCAGTTCTCCGCTCTTTCTCAACGAGAGCGAGGGGGGGCCTGAGAAGGTGAGACCGTAAAACCCTAAGGTTTATCGAATGCGGGTTTTGCGAATTATCACAGAGTCCGGAAGTGCGGGATTGAACGAGTGATTGCTTGCTGCACAAATTTCGGCATCCGACCTCGTTGCAGATTTGAACGAGTATCGTCATGGCTCGCACTCGAAGAGTAAGTAATTTCTTTACTGTTTGCGATGCACAAGAATTGGGATCCTAGTCGTTGGGTCAGGCGAGGCGAGACTTGGAATTCTCCTTTGAATTCAAGGGGTTTCTGGTTTGATTGAGTTCTGAGTGTGTAATCCAAAGCTCAATTTCGAAATGTGTTTTTTTCTACCTCCAGAGAAAGAAGAGAACCCATGTCCCGGCTGCCCCTGAAGGTGCCGTTGGTATCGAGAAGGTGCCCAAGAGTTTCGTTTTATCTCGAGGAAAGCTGCCCCAAATTTTACGGAATCTGCAACATGACCTTCGGCAAGTCATGATGCCACACACCGCCTCCAAGCTTAGGGTATGAGTTACGTTTTCTTCCGGATTATGAAACTTTGCTTTTTTTTCTGTCGTACCATGATTCTGTTCTGTCTTCGCTTGTCTTTGGAGGTAGATTTTTTGCTTCATGAAGCTGACGTATCACTATGTGCAACTTTAGATTTTGGAGCTTACTGACCGATTTTCGTACATTACACCTACACTTCACATTCAGTCCCTTCGTAAGAGGCCTATAGCATCACGTCAGTCCACTCTACCTGTCATAACGACTATTTAAAATATGAGCATGCTGCTTGTCTCTTTTCACAGGAAAGCACTCGAAACAAGCTGAAAGATTTTGTACACGTAGCAGGGCCTCTAGGGGTCAGCCATTTTTTGATAATGTCAAATACGAAAGCTGCACCGTATTTGAGAATAGGCAAGAGCCCTCACGGTCCTACACTCACGTTCAAGATCCACTCGTATTCTTTGGCTGCTGATATTCAACGGGCGCAGATCAGGCCGCGTGCACCTCTCGCAATATTCAAAAGCCCCCCTCTTGTGCGTACTTCTGGCCTGCTTGAACTCGCGCTTTCGTAACACCTGCGGTATAGCTCTTGTTCATGCCATCGCGACTCTTTTACTCTGCACTGACTGGCAGTATGTCCCTTGCAATTTTGTTATCAGGTGGTTTTGAACGGTTTCGGAACTACAGAGGAACACTTGAAACTTATTCAAATCATGTTCCAAAACATGTTTCCAGTGATCAATGTGCACAATGTACGTCTTTTCACGTTATTGTCATATTTTAATTGCGGATGAGATTGTTATACGAGATGGCAAAGCCATATCCAGGTTATCTTGTTTGATTGCATCTTGTTACATGGGTCTCTAGTCTCAGTGATTGTAGATGGGTACCGTACGAGTAGACGGTGCTTATATGAACCTCTTAATATTTTTGAGAACTGCTGAGGGGTCCTTACATGCCTCATATGGGTTCTTTCAGGTCAAATTGGCCACCTGCCAAAGGGTGCTGCTTCTTAATTATGATAAGAAAACCAAGTGCATAGACTTCCGACACTACTCAATATCTGCTCAGCCTGTTGGCGTTACTCGAAGCATTCGAAAGCTCGTTCAGAGAAAGAAACTGCCAGACCTTGGCGGTCTTGGCGATGTAAGTGAGTTTGTTACTAGGTAAGTTTTCATCTTAACTTTAGAACGGGGTTTTGAGTGATGCAATTGCGAATTGGGCAATTTCGATTTCAAATTCTTGGGGTAGCCTGTGTAGTCGATTTGCCTTATCTTTCGTCTGGGGTGTCTGTGGAGGTCGTACCTGCTGGGCCTGTACTCTCTGGTCCCCTTGCGTGTTAAGCCCTTTTAGTTGATCAAGTTTCATGAAATTTGTCTTCTCTATCTGTTATTATTATGTGACTCTTGTTCCAATGTGGGTTTCAGGTCTGGTTATGGGTCTGAAAGTGAAGTCGAAGATGAGGCCTCGAAAGTTCAGCTGGCAGATGAGTTCGGCAAGGGAAATCATGCTTCACAGCAAAGTGCTGTCAAGCTTCATGAAGTGGGTCCACGGTTGAAGATGCAGCTTGTTAAAGTGGAAGAAGGCCTCTGTTCTGGGGGTGTTATGTTCCATGAGTATGGTAAGTTCTCGGTTTTGTGTGAATCGCACTTACATGGTCAACCTTCAATGCATCCTTTAAGTCAGTAACAACAAACGTATGGATTGTGTAATCACCGATCTGATTCGTCATGGGTGGCAGAAGATTTCTTGCTTCATCACGAATGTATGTAAGTTTACCTTCAGCGTTGTAGAGAGGTTTTGAAACTCCTAGTACTCTTGCGGTCTATATAATAACGTATACTTACATTTTCAAGCCTCTGCTTGCAGTTAAGAAAACTCCCGAAGAAGTAGCAGTTCTTAGGGCCAAGGTAGAGCAACGAGAAGCTCTACGCAAGCAACGGAAAGCCGAGCAGGAGGCGAATGTCAAGAAGAAAGAGTATGCGTTTTTACCTCTTGGGTTCAAAGAGGGTCCTATGCTGCTGTTGGCTATGTTCTTCAACCTCGAAGGTTTTGTCATTGACTGTACAATGTTCATTATCGGTTGTGCAGAGCTCTTAAAGCCAGTCGCAAAAAGAAGAGACCAGAACACGAAAGGGAGAAGGAAGATAAGGAGAGAGAATCGGATAGTGAGGAGGATGATCAGCCAGAACTTAGAAAAGAAGAGGATAAGGAGGACGACGATGCTGAGTGGTACCGCAAGGAGGTTGGCCACGAACCCGACGAAGGTAAAATACTTTTCCTCTTGGCCCCTTTTTTATTCCGGGTCACATGTACTTGGATGTTCTAGCCTTGTCCTGCCCTTTTAGATTTAGGACTGTGATCTTCATGAATAATGTGAAGTTGCCAGTGTCGATCCGTGTTCACCTTCCCCGGTTTTAAGTCAATATATGTACGGTATAAATGGAATTCCAAATGTGGAGTTCTGCGAGTGTGCTATTCTCCAGAGCTAGAAGATCATGAAGTTATGCAGACACATTGATCTCGTCTTCACTCTGCCTTTACTCTGTCATTACATTGATATTTTCCCGGGCTTCAACTTCTACTGTGTGCCGGAAGGCCCACCTTATTTTTCTTAGTTACTGCGGGACATATTGTTCTTGCTCAGGACTTTTGTTAAGTAAGCGACTTTCTACAGCTGCTTGAAACAATGCTGACTGGGAAATGGCCCTCCTCGACACCTTTTATACCTTAGAATCTCTTCTCTGAACAGTAGCCTTTTAGATTTGAAGCAGTGCCCAGGGAAAAGTGTTTCCTTTACCTGATGAAGATTTCTCGAACTCTCTTTACTTATTCCAAGCACCTCCATTTCAGCTGCTTTACACATGGAGAAGCCGATGTTCCTCTCTGTTCGTGAGCTCAACTAAGTCAACTCATTACTTGGTTCTTACCCTCGGCTTTGAGATGCACCTAGTCGATAGCCCAACCATTTGACATACTTGAGTTGTATGGCAGCTTTCTTGAGTGGAGCACGAAGGTGGAATGCCAACAGACCACAAAGAGGTAGAGGAGGAAAATTTTTCGGTGGAAAGAGAGGAAGTGCGGAAGGCATGGAAATGAGCAAGCATCAAGAGTCAACCAAATCTGCAGCAAATGGTGATGACAGGAAAGATAGATACAAGAAGAGAGCGAAGTTCGAGAACAACGGTGATGATAATAGGAAAGAAAGGTTTGGGAAGAGAGGTGGCGATGACAGCCGAGGCAGGTTCGGAAAGAAAAGAGGCAGCAGTGGAGGAGACAAGGCCCCCAAGCGTCAAAGATATAAGAGAGATTAGTGATCAATGACCTATCGCTCTTTTACACCAGTTTTGTAACAATTAATTTTTCTATTAAAATTTTTTCAAATATACTCGTATTTCATAGCTCCAGAAAATTGGAGCTTAACTTCTCAACTACGCTTTGAAACGTTGTATGACCATATAATAGGCATAGTAGAAGTGATGCTGTGGAGTGGATATGTTTTATTCTTACGTAAATTTGGCACGAGGGAAGTTGGAATGTGTTAGCGGACTTTTCGGCTACATGCTTTACCTGCTCCTTACTGCGATTCAAAGGCTGAGCAATCATACCAATTTTCTTATGGTATTTTTAGTGGTGTCTCTTGCAACGCCCTCTACATCTCTCTAAGGATGGCACAGTAGTTTCACTCACTTCTTTGGCTTTAGGTATCACCATGTAGTTCCGTCTTTGCCAGTCTTGCTTCGTTATGAACTGTTTTCACGTTTTCTTTCGAAAGTAGTCTAAGCTGGTTATTCTCGACAGGACCTTCAGTTGTGTGCAGGTCTGTAATTACTGTTGAAAGGCCATAAAAGTAGTCGAAGTTTCATGGCTAGGGTAAACCACATCTTGTGTTCATCTGGGAACGGGCTGCGTTATTCACTGTCATTCTGTTAAAAATCATTTATATCTGGACTGTAGCGGTTTTCTGCATTTTCAAACGCTATCCCCGACTGGACTTAATATCTTGTTGCTAGTTTCTCCTCCTTGATGGCCAGTTTGAGTGGCCATCAAGAAGCCCTGGATCGCATCTGTGCAAGTTAAGGAAACTTCAAAAGGAGGTTACTGGGTAACATTTTATATGGTTGTAGAAAAAGCCTGGTACCCAGCACGAATTACACAATTGTTGAATGGTACCAATCTATACACAAGCCAAAGCCACCATTTATTGTTGGTGCCGACAACATTCTTCTCACAGTGAAAATACTGTTACTGGGTTTCCTGATTCATCCATAATCATCTGCCAAAATTTAAACCTGTTGGGTCACGGGAGAAACAGGGGATTGCGATAAAGGACGGATGTATGTTGTGATTGTGTAAATTCCGTTCGCAGTTTTGTTGACTCTCCGTGGGGAAAAGAAATCCTCATTTGGGCAGGACAGGAAGTCCATTGTTATCGGTAAACCTGTTTAATTCGATTGTATGGCAACTTAATGGAATGAAGATGGGGCATTATGAGAATTGCTCATTTTGTAGACATGACATGCGTATATCTTGACGTGGTGTAGTAGGTGTGCTTGCTCAGAATTGAAATTTTCCGTCATCAAGTGAGCTTCAGTTTTTTTCTCAAGGGCGAGTACGTATTTATCCGACTGCTAGTTACAAATTTACGAATAGCGAAACGAGAGCAAAAAAGTAAGTCTCTATTTTAGAAATAATACCCACCCACCCCGCGAGAACTATATCACTTCCTGTCTGCTAATTATAAATTTACGAATAGCGCAATGAGAATGAAAAAAAACTCCCCTTTGTCACGAAGAAGTAACTAATTTAGAAGTAGCACCCAACCACCCCAAAAAAAACTATATCCCGTCTTCTCCGTGCATGTGAGCAATCACAAAACTCTACAGAAGATATAATAGCAGTGTGAAGTGTACACGATTATGATCAATCACAATACTCTACAGAAGATATAATAGTAATGTGTAGTGTTCACGATTATGATCATGTATAAAATGTGAGGGATAATCGGCAAAAAGTGAGGTGTACATGATTAAGATCATGTATCAAACACGAACCACTGAAATACAAGTTGCATCAAGTAGTTCTTCAGGGATCTGATTTCTTCTGGCAAGGCAAGTTAAGCTAGTTTTATAGCTCCACAAGCCTTGGTACAAGTTAGTTACTGTCATGTGCTGCGCTGACTAGCTGTCGCCATGTTTATGTCTAAACTGTAGTAGATTGCAAGGAATGCTTCCTATGTTAGATATCCACAAAAAAAGTATCATAGCCTATGTCACACTACTATTGAAATCATAACACTTACTTTGTAATCTTCAAATGATTGATGAATATTTCCAATTATCTAGACTAATCTTCCTCTCGCATGAAAGGAATGAACGTGAAGAAAACAAAGCAAGATGAAAGCCAGGTCAATCAGATTAACTAGTGATGTAAACGATTTACATTACCACTTTTGGAGTTACTGCAGGTGACTATTAACATTACCTATTTCCAGTTCCCTCTACTATCATTGCTCACTCTACTATTATTTTACTGTTGGTACCGTATGCTTACCATTTCTCTCCAGCAGGTATTCATTCTTGTCTCTCCATTGGGCAAACTCGACATTTAACTTCAGGAATTCCAACCTCTAAATGCACCCCTTCATTTTTCCATCAAGGCATTCATATCTATAACAAGCAGGGTGGGTCATCCAACCCTGATGTTACAAGCTATATTGTGAAATAGGATATGTGACTCAGTGGATTACACATCTCGTTCTTTATTATACAAGTGAATAAGAAATAGTTAGCGCAATTCACATTCTCTCTATGTGCATGTTTAGCCAGACGACCACCAGTTCGTAAATTGTGCAGGACATACATCTCGACTTTTTCACAATCGTTTGATTCCTAAATCTTAAAAGAGCTCTGGCCAAAGAAACAAAAACATCATTCAATAAGAATGTATTTTAAGTGCACTCCATCAGAACGTTTCTTAGTCCGTAAGGTGCATTATTCATGTGATTTTCCTTTCATAAATTTGTGCTATATATATATATATATATATATATATATATAGTGTGAAAGCAGTTGCTTCATGCTCCAATAATATAAGTAAGTTATTTATTGGTTATGTTCAATTTTGAGTTTAACTAGGTTTTCCCTAATTTATGTATTATCTTTTCTTAATTAGGTGGTACTTCTTCATTGCACTTACTTGGAATATGTTAGATGAAATCAATACTTCAATTTTGTATATTCATGATTTGGTACAAGCTTGTGAATGAATACACATCCTCCTAGTAAGTGAAGATTTCTCTTTAGCCTAGTTCTCTAAATATATGGGTATGTAGAGATCAACAATGCATCAATTCGTGAGTGCAAAGTCGGTGCAAAACGTTCAAAAATGACCACCAAGAGACAGTTCATTCAATATTCCGCCCTTAGAACTATTGTATTCATCTCAAGAGCAAACATCCACTCCGTTGGAAGGAGTATCATATACTAAAGAAAATAAGCTGGTATACGTTGAAATTGATGTGACATTTGTGAACATAATTTTGTCACATATCGATCAAGACACAGATCATGTGACATACATCATCGATCAGTGTATCATTGAGTTCACAATTGGAGAAATGTTATAGAATGCCAAAGATGTTGAAGGTCAAATTTACAATGTCATGTGCTTGTTCACGCTCAATACAAACACAGGAAGCTGTACTTTGATGATCAAGATCCCAATGGCATACCACCTCGCAATCAAGTAGGTTGGCATTGATATAAATCTTCGGCAGACTAAGTGGTTGCTTCAAGCGACAAAGTAAGTTGCAATGATCTCCAATCTCGGTGGATTGAATGATTTGAAGATCGCTATATTTGTACGAGTCCAATGCCATGTCAACTTCCATATCATTGCTAACATCCTTTGCATGGTGTAGGCTTTATTGATTTCATTGCATGTCTCCACTTGCATGTATGCCTCATACATTGATGTTTCCGCTCGTTTTGTTTGTCAGCTCTATAATTTGCATCTCATTTCAATCTCATTTTACGGATACTGGTTTGTCATAGTTTGAAATCCTGTGCAGATTATTTGACGTACTATCTCCCAACTAGAGGAACCAATTGACCAGTGCATCTTCTAACAGACTTCAAAACATGATTAATCATGTTGTTGGTGTTATGACGCGGCTTCAACAGTGTTCACTAAAAGTATTTATTTGTGTGTGATGTTGTCTCCATCAATTGAACATTATCCTACAGAGTCATACCTGAAGCTCGATGGTGATACATAGTATGCGACATTGATATATATGATTTCGCATTTGCAACGTAAGTAAAAGCTTTATTTGCAAGATGAATCCAACTTGTTTCAAGACATATGCACACTTTGTAAAGTGCCAAAAGCTGGTAAGATGATCATCGCCACGAGATCAATGCCGACTATTCCAAAATTCCAGTAGTCTCTTCTCACGTGCATTCCCATTTGAGATTGAAGTCTGGTGGATTCTAAATGCCGTCACGAGAAGCATCACGACGGTGATGCGATTTCAAGCTCATTGTCTGATGTTCAACCAACAAAAAATAAATGTTGAAAACTGATCGGTGAGTTAATATTTCACAATTGGTGCATCTCGCAACGGACGTGGAAAATATAGACAAATCCATTCATATCATCTGCAACGATTGGTCGGCTTCCTACATTGACATCATAGTCTTCATTGAAGATATTGGTCATTTTGCTTCGATGACGATAAACAATCTCTTCAAATCAACTTGGCTGATACTTCTTCGTAACATTGCATTTCTTATTTTTGACATCGTTAACAGATTTATGGATTGCTTAGGAATGCAAAATAAACCGCGGCTCCAGCAGCGACCTCAACTGTGCACCACTTTACTATTTTGACTAGTGAAATTTAAAGTTCGTGATATTAGTCGTATTATTATTCAACAGAATTCTCATGTTGACTATAGTTGGTCTCCCTCCGATATTGACAAAATTGGATACCAATTTGAAAAGCTTTGCACCATGTACAAGAATGTCTCAGTGTGTCAAGACATAGATTTTTGCGATCACCATTGTTCATTTGACGATGTGTGGACACTGTACTGTCTGTGTCCAGCCGTTTCAAATTTCTGAGAGACTTCGTTGTTCACCTTTCCTCAACAAAGCACGAGTCTAAAGAGATGTCTCGATCTTGAAATTTGTGGATGACGTATTCAACTTGTGATTGACTGATTTTCCTCTGGAAGAATTCATCCAATGCAAACATTATGACATTCTGATCGCGAGGAAACAATATTACATTTTTATATTGCTCTCTTTGAGCTTCTCTCAGTTGTGATACTTAATCATGATTAAGGATTTGCGCCTAATTTACTTCAGATTGGGCACTTTAGGCATATGCCTAATCTACGAAGGTCTGGTGATGATGCTTCAACACATGAGACTCAGATTGCCTTCAAAGAGTTTAGATTAATTCCATTGACAAGAAAGAGTGTCTTCAGCCTTATCTCTTATAGAATGTACTCAGTGTAGTGCCCTTGGGAACCTCGATGGCCCGGCGTTAAAGCATTTATTTAGACTTCCTAGCCTCACCGGAAAGTATTGATCGATCTTTGTTTATTGTAAAACGTAGCACAACAATCAGCTCAAGAGTACCTGGTTGACTTCGTCAGACACACCTTCATCTATAACACACATAAGATGTGAGTTCGCAGATGAAGGTGCAGGTTCTCAGATCTCGATACCCTCCTCACCTAACTGATCGTACCAGCATCTGGGAAGGCATCGTTTATAAATCGAGAAAGCACAGCAGGGGATCGAGGAAGGCCTGGTGGCTTTGTCGGACACACACAATTTATGTTGCTTCTGTTGCTTCAAGTCTGCCCCCGAAAGATGCTGCTTCGTGAGGGTCGATACAATTGGCCTCGATGTCATTGACCTACATCCAGGACCCACGAGTACTAACTTTGTGACCTGTGCTGCATTTGCCATGAAAAGGCGAGAACTTTCAACTTCGAGAAGATAGAGAGAGAGGGAGAGAGAGTAGTCAACTCGTTCGATGAGTGGAGATCGAAGCTTTCAGTGCAATCCAAATATCCATTACTTCCCTACTGTTTAGTGGAAGGGTATCGTGTGGTCAGGTGGTCAGAAAGCAAATGGATATTTACCTGCTTGGAGTTGGCTTGGTTTTTCCCAAATCATCCCCTCTAACAGAATCTCCATGCATTCGTGAGATGTTTAGCCGACCACTGTCCCAAATTTGGACACTGTTCTTATCTGCATTCCCAACTGCTGCTGCTGCTGCTGCATGCTCTTACTGATCGAAGTTCGCGAATTTTGTCCAGGGCCCACTTTTCAGTTACCGCATGGAAGCCATGGAAAACCGAAGCTCCAAGGGAATGAACCCATCCATGATGAGTCACGTTGCACATATGTATCAGTGCACTTATCCCCTTGCCTCGGCCCCCTCCTTCCCCTTGCATCAAGGCTTAGTTACCTCGGTTGACCCGTCTCGAGATCATTACAATAGTACAATGACATACGCAGTGTACATTATAAGCATAAGTAAGACGACTGGGTTTCCTCCAGAATCTTTGATATGCTGATAGATCTTCTGTTCAACCTTCCAGATGAAACGAGATGAATGCCGTCTACTTATTCTTCTTCCCATACATTCAGTATCTCGAAAGTATATTCCACCAGCTCTCTGACCATGAAGAGCCTGGAAGTGAGATGCATGGCTCCGTTGGAGAATGCCAATGAGCTCATCTACATTCATATGTATACATTGTATGTAAAACTGCCAGCATTGCAGTGGGACATTTGCCAAACCCGGCCACAGATTAGAACATTCATTTGCCAATAATGATAAGATAGGCGGTAAAGAATCATTGCCAGCAACTCGTATCACCACCGTTGTATGTTTGAAATGTAGAGCAACTGCACGAGATTGCAGAGAGTATCACGAAATTAATATGCAATTATATGCACTTCACCTTCACGAGGCTTGGTTCTCGATGGACTTTGTGGCCTTTGCATTGGTTCAATTGTGGCCTTGGGCTTTCACTCCATAGCTTTTACTCATAATACCCATATTGATAATCTATGGCAAGTTATTGATCGGACTGTAAAGTGCTGAGGTGGTGAGCAGTGTGTAGTAAGTTCAGACGATGATGTCCGGAGAGCATTCAGACAGCTGGTGACTGCTGGTGAGAGACTGAGGGGCGATATCTGATGTCTGAAGATCCTCATGGCCAAGGAAGACCGAATTCGATGAGCAAAGTTGCGGATAAGGCTGCTCAAGGAGGTTCTGGAAGCGAAGAGCAGGTGCATTAAAACACTTCTTGTGGAAGATTGGAGTCCGAGCATGAATGAATGATAAATGTGGGCCTGACCGGTAAAGTATACAGTACCCGAGATTTCCAAAATTAATGCTCCCCAGAACTATCAGAGCAAATCTGCACTCGTCTGAACCCAATACTGATTACTCCTCGTCCCAGTCTCTCACGGCTCGACAGTGTCCTCCCCCGCATTTTATGAAAGGGGGATCGCCCTGTTATCACGGAGGACGAGAGCCCTGGACAGCCGCAAACCTCTGGCTGGCTCGAGCCGAGAGGTCGGGTCAACCCTCAGGCTCAGCCTCAGCCTCAATCAGATCAGGAACCAGGTGAAAGAACCGGAGCAGCGATGCGGGCACAGTCAACAGTCGTTGAACGGAAGCTGCGAGAAAGGGAGACAGCGGATTTGCGCAGCCACATGCTCGGAGTCGGAGTAATCTCGGCATGGCGCATCGGACGCTGCCGAGCACCCCCCGAACCCGGATGATGTTCCTCCGCATGCACGCACAGTGTTGGCGCTTTGGGAAACCGACGGCGTTATTGCGCTTGCAGCAGCCCGCGCATCGCATTGCAGTGCAGTGCAGAGCTGAGCTGAGCTGAGCTGAGCTGAGCAGGGGAGTGCAGTGCAGTGCTCCTCCCCTCCCCTCCCCTCCCCTCCCCTCCCCTCATGCAATCTCCTGTTGGCGGAGAAGGGAGGATCCAGTCCACTCCACTCTCGCCCTTTTCTCGTTCCTTCCTTCCTTCCTTCCTGCCTTCCTCCCTCCCACTCCCTTCCACTCGATCATCATCACAGGACATTGTTCCTGTTCCTGTCGCCATCGCTGTGGACCGCCAGGTGACCCCTTCTCGTGGTGGCCCCTCGCTCGCTCATACTTACATTCATTCATTCGTTCCATCAATCCGTTGACTTCCGTCCGTCCCGCTGTCCTCATTGTCCGTGTCTCCCACTTCCGATGCCAATCTCATGCACAAGGCGTTTGACTCGTTCAAAGGTGGCGATAATTGTCCTCGACGAGATGAGAGGCGGTTGTGGCGTGCGTCGACGAGTTGACATGCTATGCCATGCCAAGCCATGCCCTCTTTTGTGCACAAGTACATCCAGCTAGAATACAATGTGCCCTTTCTTCTGGGATTCGGCCTCTTACAGCCGCCCCCCTACTGCTACTACCACTACCACTACCACTACTACCCAGCCCAGCCCAGCCTCGCCTGCAGTGCGATCCTCGGCCCATAACTTGAGACTTGGATCCTGAAGACTGTACAGATCGACTGCACTCAAGGTCCGATTTATCTCGAGGAGTAAATCTTATTCTACCTCCTCATGGTACGCGTCTCTGGGAGGACGGGCATGTGAACATTCCTCTGGGTACAGTCCTCGTCTCGCATGGCAGAGCAGAGCAGAGCAGAGCATTGGGCCTACAATGTGTACCCAGCACATCCATGCTCACGGATTCATTGCGAGCAGAGCAGAGCACTCACTCGGTGCTCACTCCTTCGACGAGGGGATGGGGACGGTTTCCCCGTGCCGATGATTTGGCTCCTTGGTTCTACTCTTGCGCCTGAGGATTTCATTCCTCTCTGCAGTACGCGTCGTCCCGTGTCCTCGTCGAGAGCAGGGGCGAGCGAGGGGCAGACATTTATTTATGTGGCGCGATTTCATTCTCTCTCAAGAAACTGCAAACTGCAAATCCCGGGCCAGCAGTTTGGCTCAACTACATTCCACGTAACGGCATGATCTGATCCGACCACGAACCGTGCTGAGCCCTAGCGAGAGGAGTTCTAGATTCTCGTCGGATGATGAGTGATGGAGTAGGGTGAATCATGAAGGAAGATCTCCGGCCACCACGAGAGACCAAGGCCCCAATCAATGAGGCCTGTGGCCGGAGTACTTGCACACGGAGAGTGCCCATTTCCCCGCTTAAACTATTGCCGATGCATGGCGACGAGATCTTCTCATGCATGGATCGTCCTATCCCGAAACTCAGACAGGCACCGAGACACCATGAGGAAGGTTCGGGCGTAAGAGAAGACCCAGAGAGAAGCCGGTCCGATCTGGTCGTCGATTGCCGATCGATAGACAGAGATCCACGCCCTGGTGCAGATGGGCATTGAAAAGTTGACAAAGAGGCCAGCAGCAGTTGGGCTGCACTGCTGCTGCCGCTGATACGAAGGCAGCCACGGTCCTGCTGCTGCTGCTGCTGCTGGCGATAGTAGTAGAATAAGCGTGCGCATGCGCGAGAAGGCTGTCTGTCTGGGGCGGGGCTGGCTCGGCTCATGGATCCGATATAACCGAACCTCGTCTGCGAACACGAAAAGGGGACGACGAGATTTCATGGAGCTGTATTGCAGTCGTGCACAGCGGAAATATTCTCGGGAGGGGGGAGGGAGGGAGGGAGGGAGGGAGCTTGACAGGAGCTGACAACATCTTCGACTCGAGAGGTGGAAAGCACAAGCGCCAAAACGGCCACAGGTAACCTAACTGCAGATAGACATGGCGACGGCGATCTTCTGCCCATGCTGGAGGCAATATTTCTCGAAAAAGCACTGATCTGATGTGGGAGGACGAGGGGGAGGAGGAGGAGGGAGGGAGAAGACGGAACGGGAAGGGGGGAGGAGATCGGATGGTCACTGGCACTGGCAGCAGCAGCAGCAGCAGCAGAAACAGAATTGTGCATCCTCGCCCTCCTGGAACGCAAGGAGTAGATGAACCCACTTGGCCAAAAGGAAGCAAGAGCTCAACCACCTTGCCATTCTTCTTCGATGCAAATACAAGCAACATTGAAGACACGAGGTTGCGCCTGGAGCTTCGTTTCCTCGCATCGGATCCACGAATAGAATGTTTGTCCACCGTCTCGCCTACGCCCTCTACTGCTCACTACAGTATTCTCCTCCTTTGACCGTGTGCACCGTATATCCCGCCCCCCCTCCCCACAGGAGTTCATTCGAGGAAGGCGTTGAAGTTGACTCATGTCAGCTCAGCGGCAGCAGCAGCTGGTGGTCACCGGACGGGCCCGTACCGTACGTCGGTCAGACGGCACCGAACGGAACGGAACCGAACAGAGCAGAACCCTTCTGGTGCCTCGAGAACCGGCTGCTGCTGCTAACGAGCCAGGCTAGGCTTAGGCTTAGGACAGGGGGGATGAGTCCCCGTTCTGCCGCCAGATAAGAAGATAAGCAGAGAGAGAGAGGGGTGGACGGACAGACGGACGGACGGACGGACAGGGGGCGGTTGCCAGCACTACGGAGATGCGGCATTTCTGAGGTCGGTTTAGTGGGTGGGATCTGCCACGTGTCGGACGCGGGAGATCCGTGGGCGGAGGGAGATCGAGAAAGAGAAGGAGCGAAGGGGGTACGCCGGACATGAGTCCACTGCGACTGCGACTGCGACTTCTCCCTCGGTGCCTTCTGCCGGAACTGCAGTACCCACCACACTCGGGCTGCGGTCGATTGGAGCCTAGGGGAGCTGGCGGGCGAGAGTGCGGCCTTTGGCCTGAGTGGGGACTGCCTGCGGGACGGTGCCGCCTGGGTGGAGAGGTGGGGCCCGCCCGCAGCGTGCGCCAGATGTTCTGTCTTGGACAGTGTCGGGCCGTTGATACCACATTTCGAGAATGTATCCACTTCTCGCCTCGCCTCTCGCCTTTTCGAGCCGGTCGCCACCACCACCATCATCATCATCATCATCCCCATGGCCATCTTCCCCTCCTCCTCATTCGGTCATCAGTGAGTCGGCCTGCATCTGCTCTCGACTACATCCACCTCGCCTCATGTGAGCTTCTCATGGGGAGGAGTGGGATCTTCGATTCATGCTACCTAAAACACCAAACCTGTTGGAATAATAGGGAGAATGTAAGAGAATTCATTCGAATCATTCTTCATCGTCTCTTTGTTCAGATGTGAATAAAGTTAAAATATCTGTTCGTTCCTCTTCGCCATTGATGAGAAAATTTCGGTGAATTTTTTGCCTATGGATGAGTATAATTATTTGGATCGGGTTTATCTTTGGTTAAGATCTTCTTACTTCCGATCAGAAGTATAATCGAAGGAGTGTTGATGATCAATGATTCAGGTTGGACTGTGGTGTGGAGACTAACACAGTCCATTTTATGACTCGTTTTGCTTTGGCATAGTTTGGCTAATTTTAAGAAAGATAGAATAATTATTTTATACGAGAAGCTTTCAAATTTGAAAACGAAAAGCGTTTCATTATTACTGCAGGTCAAAGGATTTAGCTCAATCTAGGAAGAATTCGACGCTAACGACTTTATCTACTTGTATTCTGTCTCTCGTGCATTTAGGACTTCGATGAACGACAGATATTACGGGTCACATTACTGTTCGTGTGTGATGACATGATGTGAAATCGGCTTCTCTCCTCCCATGAATAGCAATGAAATTAATATATGTCAGCAGCTTATGCGGAAGATAGATAGAGAGTCAACAACTTCTCCAGAATTAGAGCGAAAAAAATATCATTTATCTGAACAACTGAAACCTCAATACATTCAATTACAAACTGCAGCAGTTCAAATGTATGCGAAAATAATAGCTCGAAAGCTCGATGGAAGGAGATGCCCAGCCAAAACTTGGACCATCGCCAGTTCTGCTCGTCACCGACTTTTGTCCTCCTTCGCCAGTAGAGAGGATCCATCCATAGCAACGCACCTTGCCGGCCTTGTGCTTGACACATTGTGTTCACAAACTCTTGCATGGAGTAGAAGAACCGATAAGACAATGGCACCCGTGACTTGGGATTTGATTGTATTGTTACGTATGGATTATCGTATGGATTGCTTCGCTTACGACCAGCTCGAGCTGTGCAAGTGCAGCTGCAGTTGCAGGGATGAGGAGGAGGAGGGACATGTGGACTGGAGACTGGAGACTGAAAGACTGAGAGAAAGAGCAACGGAAAACGAACGAACTGCCACTGCAAAGGTCCTTCTGGGAACCAATAGCTACGCAGACAAGGTCAGGCGTCTTGCACACAGTCTCCCGGCCAGCGAGACCCGGAGTAAGCCAGCGATGCAGCCATCGATCGATGCAGCCAGCGAGACTTTTAACTTTCGGACAGGATAGAGGTAACTCCACATTTCCGTCTCTCCAGCTATGGAATGGAATGACAGCCCCGACGTCAGAGCGCATCGGCTACAAACTCGGCCTAATTTGGGTGGAGCTGTCCATTGAAACTTGCAAAGGAGCTGATGCTCGGACAGCAAGGGCTGCAACGACTTTCACCATCACCTCACTTCTCTCTTCTCTTCTTCTTCTTCTCCTTCTTCTTCATCACTCGTCCTCCGATTCCTCCATTACTAAACTGCAGTACGACGACGGACAGTAGGACCGAGGGCATGTGCCGGGCCCACCCGCAGAGATAGATACCCACCAACTGCCGCACCAGCATCAGCACCAGCACTCGGACAGGGACATGAAGTCTACGCTCTCCAGCTGCACCGTCAGTCCTCAGCTCAGATTCGAATACTGCGAGAGAGAGTGGGGACTCACGGTAATTGCTCACATATTCCCATGCGAACCTCGGACCCGGCTTCTTAAGTACGTGCCTGTACTGACTTTCATGCAAACTTGATTTCATTCATTTCATTTGAGGCGTCATGATGCAGAGGGCTTTCTACGCATGTATGCGTCGGTTGCATCTCGAGACACTCGAGCGCAAAGCATAGGCCATGCGCTTGCACACAGGGTGAGAGGGGAGTTCTATCTCGTGGTGTGGAAATTTGGAATGATGGCGTCGCTCGCCCAGCTCGGTGAGAGTCTAATCTCGGGTCGAGCAGGTTTCTCAGATTGTCAGGCGAGAGAGTCCAGGAAGAAGAAGAGAAGAGAATTCTCTTGGAGGAAGGCTCTGGAGTTCTGGAGTGGAGGCCAGGGGATTCTCAGAACAGTTAGACGGGGCGCATATATTTCACTAGCGGTGGCACGCGAAGCAGAGAGAAGTTATGGTACGGGGCCATAAAGTGCAATGTCTTTCCACCAGCATTCAAGACCGGACGAGGAGCAGACGCACAATCGAGTTATCATCGCACCGCATTTATTGACATCCCACCGATTGTATTGAATGAGCGACTGATGGATTCAAGTTCCTACACCATTCTCTTCCTTTTCTTTCACTGCCTCCTTCCTTTGCCTCCAACGAAGCCCAACGCCCTCCCTCTTCGAGGGAAAGTGAATAACGGCAAATATAAATTGTTCAGCTACTCTACTTTACAACTGGTGTGTACAACATCAACGACACCTCCTCCACCACCACCACCTCCTACAAAACACTTCTCGTCCTTGCTTTCTTCCACCTCCTCGTCCAGTCAGGCTCGCTCTGATCTCATCTCATCTCATCTCATCTCATCTCATCTCATCTGCTCTGTAGTCGAAGAGAAGAACAAGAATTCGAGACGACCACGACGCGTAAGGAGAACCCGGTTTATTGGCAGAGCATAGCGATCGAGTAAAAGTCACAACACTCTGGCTCCTCCTGCTGCTAACCAAGGGCCTTACTGTCTAACTGATTGACTGACTACATACATACATACTGACTAAAAGAACAATATGGGCCTTTACCTCTGGGCAATCGGGGAGGTAAACATCCATATGGCTCTTCAAGAATGGGGACTGGCTCATGATTTCTGGACTGGCTGGCTGACTAATTGGAATAGAATATATTTCATGTATCAGAGTGTGAGAACTCCTCTTGGGTGGAACACATGAGATATATTCTACGACCGAAGGCAGGACGCTGAAGGCAGGTCCAGCCACAATGACTCGAGTCCGAGGATCAATCATCTCAGAGAGTCGCACAGCAAGGGCGTGAACCCGATGCGGGCATTCGACCGATCGTACAGAATCTGGAAATTCTGCTGCTGCGTGTTGCCGAAAATGTTGAGCGGGGACTTGCTCCTGGCAATGGCCAGGCACATGGTTCCGGCGTTATCCACGAGAACGAAGAAATTCTCCGCAGGCAGGTCGAAATTTGCGCCCGTAAAATGGAAGGTCAGCTCGGGCACCACCACGTTCTGCACGCCGCCGATGTCGAAGCACAGATCGAGCCCGACGTTCGGCGATCCCGACACCTGCTTGTAAGGCAGGGCCAGCTGAAAGGCGCGGATCACTGCGTCGAACGCCGTCGGCACGAGCTGCGTGAACGTCGTGCCGGAATCGAAGACCACGCCGCCGCTGCCGGCCGCGTCCTTCTGGAACACGGACGCCGGAATGTTGAGCATGGCGCCGCCGACGCTCAATCCGTCGAGGCCCACGTAGTAGAACGAGCTGATGCCGGGCCGGTTGGACAGCATCGGCGTGTACTGCAGGCCCGACGCGACCATGGGCACGGCGGCGTCGCCAAAAAGCAGCGGGCTGGTCTGCGACAGCGCCTCCTCGCGGCTCACGAGGCAGTACGAGAACTTGTCGCCGTAGAGGGCGCCGAGCTGCGACGCGAAGGAGATGGCGCCCTGGCCGAGCCCGACGAGCCCGTCCGTGGCGCTGAAGGTGCCCTGGTTGCTGTGCCCGCAGCCGAAGGCGAAGTTCGCGACTTCGCGCGTGCCCCCGCTGGTGGTGGCCAGCGTCACGGTGTCGGAGGAGAAGTCGCCGCGCGTCGTGGACGAGTCGCCGTAGGAGTACGAGTACTGGCAGTTGGGGCTGCAGGCCTCGAGGTTCAGGTCCAGGTCGCTGCACACCGCGTCGGCGCAGGAGAGCGCGCGGTAGGAGCCCGATCGCGCCGGGTCGAAGAGCGCGTCCGGCTGCTGGAAGCACTGCGAGCACGGCGCGCACTGCAGCCACGTCAGATCGCTGCCGGTGTCCACCACCGCCACGAAGCGCTGCGGCGGCGTCCCCATCGTCAGGCTCATCACGTACTCGGACAGCGTGGCCAGCAGCGGCGACTCGAAGTTGTCCAGCTGCACCGTGCTCGACCCCCGCCCCGGCCCCGTCATCGCCTCCGCTTGCTCTTGCGCTTGCGCTTGCGCCCGCGCCTGCGCCTGCGCCGTGGGCCTGCCTTCTGAATCCTGCATCCTGCTGCCGTAGAAAAGCGCCCGCGAGCGCAGCGCGCTCCGCTGCGCGTCCTGCCGAATCCTCTGCTCGAGCGACGACGATGAGTTCGATCGCAGCGGCGAGTTCACGTGGTCCCTGTGCATGAGGTCCACCTTGATTCCGTCCGCCAGCTGCCTCTCGGCCCTCGGTGCCTGCTGCCCGAATCCTCTGAAGAGCAGCTGCCTCCTCGAATCGCCAATTGCTCCTCGATCTCCTCCTCCCCCATGATGCTGCTGCCGATCCTCTGCTGCGGATGTTGTCGTCGATGAATCGGAGCCCGTGAGGTAATACTTCGAGGCGAATTCCGAGCGATGTTGCTGCTGCTGCTGCTGTTGATGTTGGTGCTGGTGGTGTTGTTGAGCAGGGGAGAGCAGCTTCGCGAGGCACGGATGGGATTGGAGAGTGATGAGGAGCACGAGAGCCACGAGAGGTGACCACGAGCAGCAGCCGCCGCAGCAGCACCAACAATAACCACGCCTCCTGCTGAGGCTGAAGCCGGAGCTGGAGCTGGAGCTGGACGAGGACGACGAGTGGTAGAAGACGCAGAAGCAGCAACCCGCCATGATTAGTGTTTTTTAATCGTCTTGGTGTTCAAGACGATTAAAAAACACTAATCACGTAAGTACCGAGCGCCAGCAGTGTGTGCCACGACCTGCGATTAGAATGAGCTGCTCGTGCTCGTGCTCCCGCTGCTGCTGCTGCTGCTGGAGGAGGAGGCGGACATCCCTGAACGAGAGTTTCCGCCAGCAGCTGGAGCTGGAGCTGGGGCGCAGGGAAGAGCGACGGCAGCAGCAATGTGACCAGCGTAGAGTCATCACAATTTCATTGAGCTCCTCCGCCTCATCCGTGCTCCTCGCTGACTCGCTGGCCGAGGCGGAAGCTCGAACGTGGAGGCCGAATGCCGGAAGACGAAGAGTGCTCGAGCCAGTCAGTCACACACGGACGACGAGACAGACACAAGTCTGAAGATCTGCGCACAAGGAGCGAATGGGCACGACGACCGACCTCCACTCCCTGCTCCTGCGCCTTCTCCTCGTCCTCCTCCTTCTCCTCCTCGTCCTCGTCCTCGTCCTCGTCCTTGCCAAGGGAGGCAGTAAAAACCAGATTCTGTAAAAACAGGAAATGCCCCACGAAAATAAAAGCACTACAACAACAACACCGCACCCGAAGCAACTGTTCGCCGAATCCAATTCATTTCATTCACTCCTGAGTGCGCTAACCGCTCAACGATCTCATCTCTGCTTGACAAATCAGTCGATCACTACTATGCTGCTATCTTCTCAGCTGCTGCTGCTGCTACGCATCCACCAGTGGACTGCTATGCTAGTACCACTCATCAGTCTCCCTCTCAATCACTCCCTCGCTCGCTTTGTACAGTCCTCCCTAGTTAAGGACGCGAGCAGACAGACACTGGAGAGAAGGGAAGAAAAGGAGAGGAGATGATGCGATCCGAATTGATGAGTCGAGATGAAATGGCTATCTCCGAGGGGGAGGGAGAGAGGGAGGGAGCTGATGGAGAGAGAGTGAGAGAGAGAGAGAGAGAGAGAGGCATGTCACAAATACGAAGGCATCATGATCCATCCCTCTCTTCGAACAAATAAAATCTGGAGGAAGTCCCAGAGGATCTGGCCACCGGGGGAATCATGGATCCTACAGGCAGCAGTAAGTAGCAGTAAAGGTAGAGATAAATAGCAGAAGTAGCAGCAGCTACAGAAACAGCAGCCATGCCAATCCACTCACTCCTATTCCCTCTCCACTCCACACCAGCACTCCGGTCCTCCCCTACCTGAGGAAAACCGACCCACTCTTCTTCTGCTCTACTCACTCCCTTCCCCAGCTCACACCACATTCACAACCCCCAACACAACACATCACAGCCCAGCCATTGACCACCACCATCAGCAATCCTCCCCGAAAATAAAGGCCGCACGACCTTCACTTGCCTCCGGAAAAGGAAGGAAGGATGGATGGAAGGATGGAGGGCCGCAGTAAGATGGAAACGAACGAACGAAGGAAGAAAGAAGCTTGAATGACAAGGAGCACTGCGCCTGCAGCAGCAGGAGCAGCAGAGACCTCAGCTAAGCTCAGCTCAGCTCAGCTTCTGCTCCAGTTCTACTGCCACTGCTACTGTCATGGGACCGGGAATCAGAAGCTGGGTTGGGTTCGTAAAGTGGGAGAATCGTACGAGGCCGGCCCGGCCCGCGATGTCGCCACTGTCGAGGGCAGAGAGAGCAGAGAGAGCAGGGCAGAGCAGACATGATAGAGTAGGCTGGAGTGTCCCGAGCGCAGGAGGAGGCAGGAGGAGGCAGGAGCGAGAGAATCGCGCAAGATTCAAAGCTACGACTCCAAACAAGATGTGGGAGCAGGAGGGGCATGATGATGATGATGATGATGAAAGGAAGGGGATCAACAATGGCAAATATTTGTTAGCTCGTCCTTCTCTATTAAAGAACGAGACGGAAGCGGACAAATAATGGTGTAAAAGCACGCCATGAATGAGAGAGGGAGTGAATGAAAGGTCATGGGGCTCCCGAACGAGGTGATTAAGGGCCCGAGCCCCAGTTACCAACTTCTACCGAATCCTCTGCTGCTCATTGTCCTCTCACTTTTCTCAATTACAGGCCCTTCGTCTCTCATGTCCATGACTGCCTGCCTACCCAACATCCATCAGCTCCTGCTTGTGCTCTTCTTCCATAGATTCACTCTCACTCTCACTCGCTTCCTTTCTTCAGATTTTATCTTTCCTACATTCTGGCGAGGAATGTTTCGTTCCACCACCACCTACCTTCTCTGGGCACCTAGCTTCGGATCCACCAAGCTCACGACGGAATTCACGAGTGGTGAATTCTCGCCTTTTGTGATAGTTAGTGCTCGAAACTAAGCTTCTTCATGCATCGTAGAGCAATGATGGTGCACAGATTGATGGAGGGTTGGCATGGGGGAATTTACATTGAAGATCCTTGTCTCCACATCCTGGACACCTGGACGAAAACTGTTCGCAACGACACTTCACTCCTGTATGTCTGGACACTCGAGCGTTGCCCAAATCAAGACCGATGTATTTTGTATTTCGCATTATATTTTTATTTCTACCAATGCAAGGGATGGGGCCTCTTTTGGAATGTTAAACCTCCTGGCCACCAACAAACTTTTACACTTTTAGTGGGTTGCATAGAAGGAACTACCTCGTCTCGTTGATAGCACACTGTCTTCTCTTCTCTAATGTTTCATGGCATTGAAGCCACGTCTTCCTTGAGAAGGGTACGGGATTACATTCCATATATTGTAGTGCTATGTTTCGACAAACATGGAAATTGTAGACATATTCTCTTCATTGTATTTACTGTATATTCTATTGGTATCGAGAATGACCCATTATGAACAATTTTATTGATATGTAGGAGTCAAGTTCTCATTTTTACGGTGATAGGTATGTTATGGCTTTCTTTACCCTAGTTTCTTCTTTTAATACCTCTAATATCATTCAAATCCAGTTTGAAACTTATGGAGATCATATTACAATTTATAAGACATTTTTAGACTTCGGAGTTTTGATTGTTAGCATTTTCATGTTTGAAATAAGGCCTGAGGTATCATGATTTGCAAGTGATGAGTATATAAAAACAGTATAAAAAAATTGATGAAATTCCTCTATCAAGTTAAAAAAGAAGTATCAAACTAAAGCTAAATCTTATTCACATCAGATATATATAAAATATATTGCATTAAAAATTTCTTTGATTGCTAACATAAAACTTTGCTTACTGTATGTTTGAACAATGGTGTGTTAGACTGTAGGGCTTATATATGTTTCGTAAAAATAATCTCACTTATTGAAAAAAATACTGCATGTTAAATTTTATTTATTCCTTGCTTGTATTGCTTGTCTATCTATCTATATTTTTCATAATATTTTTGAATATGCAATATTACTACAATTGATGTGAATCTACTTAATAATATCACCCCAAAAATTTGAAATTATTCATTCCAACTAATGAAGAATATGTTATTATGAAATATGGTATAAATTTTAATATTTATTTTTTTAGTATATTCAGTTGGATTAGAATTTCATATGTTTAGTTATTAGACCAATAATTATAACAATTTTGCATTTCATCCTTGTGTATCTGAATTCATGTTGTACAATTAGAATTTATGGCAAATGCATAGCTTTGTGATCTTCATTTGATAGATTAAATGTTTTCGACTGTTAGGCGTGTAGGTCACATCTTGATTAACTATAGTTCATTCAATGACTTAGCTGGCGATATACAAAGAGTTGACATAAATTATACGTGACACAAAGCTAAGTTTTTTAATCTAAAATTATGTATTCTAGTGTACATAGTTTGGAACAGTTGAGTCACATAATTCAGATGGCTGCTGACCATTTGTATATTCTCATACAGAGTTTTATGTCGTCAACTTCTGTTGATCATGTAATTATAACTAAGATTCTAATTTTCTTGAGACAAATTTATTCATACAAAATTTTATTATTAAGAAAATTTAAAAAATTCTGCAAAAAAGTAAAAAAATTAAAGTTCATTGATAAAAAATAGAGCATGTCATTTGGTCTAAAAGTTTTAGGTCAATGTCATTTTTTTATAAGAAGTCCATATTTGACATAATTTCACTGTTTTGACACTGGTGAAATATTTCTTAAAATTGAAATACTTCTTTGTAAATGAAAGATGCTAAGGATGAAAACAACTATGAATTTGAAAAGTATGGATATGCACATAGTTCTTTCCTTCACTGAAGTAGCAAGATCCTAAAGTAAGATAAATGAGTAGTATAATCTTTGAATTGCATTGTAGTCTATATTGAAAAATATATTCTTCTAGCACTGCAATATCTGATAATATACGTAGACAGTTATCATTCTAAGTAATCATTAGAAGTGTTTTCAGACTAGATAGAAATTATTTTTCTTATTTCATGTTGATACACTTTATAAATGACAATTTTTGGTGATGCTCTTGGTTCCAGTGTTGGTTCTAGTATCATCGTAAACAGAGCCAATCGGTCTGTTGTGAAACTAGGGAAGTGGTACCATAACGACAAAAATAAAAAAATATGTAATCACACTAGAATTAAGCATAGTGAGGTGAACATGAATGCAACTAACCTCCTCTTTATGATCACTTGGATTTTCATTCCAAGAAAATTTAGAATGAGAGCTGCTACAATATGCGGAGCTCACGTGCAACCCATTTGCATTGCTTGATTCCAAATGTGGCTTTGATATTTTGTTCCGCTTACCACTACAGTTGTGATCATAAAGTAGAAGTCATGCTCACTCCATATAATGAAAAAAATCATGATAATAACTCTCTTCATCATCTTAGAACCTCGTTTTTCTAAAAATTTAATAAATTGTATAAACTTGTTACAGGAGACTGTATTTTTAATATTAATATGTCACATGAATAAAATTCACTGTGTCCAACTAAATGTAAGGAGATCTAAAATATATAAATATGACTTTATATTGTCATGTATGTTAACATTTATATATGCAAAATTATTAGTTGCAAAAATACCACTCTTAGATTTATCTTCTCACATATTACGTGGTGTGAGGCTCTTCTCATTATTTCATCTTTTAATCTTATTGATTATATAAACCTAAATTTATTGAAAAGTTGAAAGAAATGTTTTTTTAATTACGTTAAGACATATCTTATCGCGAGACATGCTTACACATCTAGAAGTGTTTCACATCTTCATAGAATTATCATTGAAACATACACATGCACAAGAAAAATTAATATGACATTGTAATTCACGTGAATTTTGTCATACAGGTATATTCAAATATATATCTTAAATGATTGATGAAATTATAATTTAAAATAAATTATTAGATTTACGTAATTCGATTTACAATCTAACACAGGATCAACAAATGTTAACACTAACACAAATCCATCAAGTGAAGTAAAATTTAAATGAAATGTTTACTTAGTTGCAACATATTTTTCTAATAAAAGTTGAATATACGGGTTTTCATCAAGAGACATGAAACAAGCTTTTGAAAATTAATTGGTTGATTGCACATGAATTAAGTCAATATTTTATTTTTTTTACTCTTTAATTTTTAAAGTTCTTAAATCCACTAATTTATATTCAAAATACACTTATTATAATCAATTTTGTGTTATTTAGACTCATAAAATAAATATCTGTATGTGATGTATCATTTAAATTTTTTATATTCAGATTTAAATTTTGGAATTTGATTCAATATTATTTTGATTATAAAACTGAAATAAATTTTTAAAAATAAAAAAACTATAAATAAAAATATTTTATTAAAATTTCAAAATAAAATTCATATTCTATCGATGAATAATTTTTATATAATGTATAATTTTATTTTTATGTAGATTATATTTTTAGTACCTAAGAATTTTAAATACCTTATTATACATTTTTTTAAAAAAATATTGCAATTATGAAATTTAGTGTATTTTATTTTATTGAAGAAAAATAAAATAAAAAATTACTGTATGGATAAACTTATTTTGATTGATACAATCTATCGATATTGAAATTAGGCTGGGTTTTGAACGAAATATTCAAAATTTTAAAAATAAATCATACATTTGAAATTTATTGAAATATTTCTTATCTTGTTATTTTTTTTTTTATGCTGAAATTTGTCATTGAGTCTGATAATTTGCACTACCGAATATATACTATTTTGTGAACTTGTATTTGTTTCTGTAACTCTTTTAGGCTTTAAGAACCTAAATTGGATGATGCTACATGGAAACGCATCCTCGTTGTGCTAAACCTGATCATTAATGTGAAGAACGGCGGTCAATGTTGCCAACACTCAACTGATTATAATTAGTAAATGTACTAAAAACCCATGATAGTTTTGAAGTGTTCTTGTACATCATAATTGATGCATGCTGAGGTAACTTTTATTTCTTATTCGAATAGGTCAAATATTGGATAGGTTTTAATGTGAACAACGTACCAGAATGTTGTAATCTCACATTATTTTGTCTAAAAGTGGATCTTCGCTGTAAAATATCTCAAAAACAGTAATTAAATATATAAAATTGGAGTAAGAGATCGAGCCTTCAATGAAAAAGCTAGTCTGAATGAATAGTCTCCGCACTGTAGAGTCCACCTCGGAGCAGAAAAAAGTACAGGACAACTCACATTCGACCACCGTTCATAAATCCAATCATTCAACGAGGGACTATTTGAATCGAGGATAGATTTCCCTTCAATTATTAAACACTAATCCCATCCCATCGAAAGATGACAATAATATTTTATTATACATAAATCTTCCATCAATCCAAGGTCAACTTCATAGTGCTCACAAATCCTCAAAGCTTATGAGATAAAAAAATATGGATGATAATTTTCCCAAATCCCCCACAGAAAAATAACAACTTTCTGGCCAAATCAAAAGGCGAGTCGAGTCGAGAGACAAGTGGATGGTAATAAGGGGGACGACCTTACAGTACTCACAGTACGTTCCAGATAAGGAAAAGGGAGAAGGCGCGTGACGTTGGCGGGGAAGGGGCGGCCCAGAAGAAGGTCACTACTATTGGGAAGTGGATGGACGGACCGGGTACAGGCAGTCAGGGCGACTGTAGTGAGGGAGTTAAATGGGTGAGTACGAAAATGTGGTTAGCATACGATGGAACTTGAAGACTGGAGTTTATGGCGCCTGGGTCCGGTCAAGGCCATGATTTATTAAGGCCCGGTTACTGGTGAGCGAGCACACCTTCTTTGTTTATTGCACACGACCAGATCAATTAATTAAGGCCTCGACAGGCTCCGCTTTCAATGAGCCCTCTTCTCTCTCTCTCTCTCTCTCAACAAACCGTAGACCCGGCTATCGGGCTGCCCGGCCCGCTTGACCACGGTCAATTTCACCGCCCTGTCTCGTAACTTGCTCCCCATGATGTTTGTCTCAGAGATCTCTGATCCCCTCCATTCCGAATTTTTATGATTTCTGAGTTCCCGTCCTCTGAGATTTCCTGAGATCGGCCTCAGATAATGGAGGAAAAATTCTCTTGCTTGAAAAAATAGAGAATTCTCTTTCGGAATATTCACAATTATGAGTGCATATTAAGGGCAAACTGAAATATTTATTTTGATTAATTTTCTTTCATGCATGATAATATTATTTACTCTCTTTTGAGTTCTTGTTCATCGTAAGGGACTCATATCTCTGATAAGAACACCACGATGGGGTGTTCCCATCCTTTTGTTCTTCTACGATGCAAACTTGCTCTAATTCCGGAGTTTCTGTGATGTCCGTTACATTTTGGCTGAGCGGGCACCGTATACGATGAATGTCGATGTACTTTAATACGATCGAATGATGTACAACATACCAAATACGGGTTGCGAAATACGACAGGGGACAAAGGCAGAAGACGCTCGCGATTGTACAGATCCCAGCGCGAACGGAAAAGCGAGGTGGTGATCCGAAAGAGAAGCGAGAGAGAGAGAGGGAAAGACAGGAGGCGTGCATGGAAGACGGCGCCGTCTGACTTTCCTCCATGCTCTGACAGGAGCCGCAAATGGAGGGTCCCGCCGCCCCGCCCAACCTCCATCAGCTGCGTCCCCCCCTACCCGACCCGCGACTCGAGCACCATGTCGCGTCCTTCAAACAGTACAAAACTTTGTTTGTCGCAATAGCTTTTTCGCTTTTCTCCTGTCGTCGCGACTTTCCTTTCGCCGACTTTGTTTTTTCTTTCGCCTTTACGAAGAAGACTTATTGGAAGTCGAAGTCTGGCCAGGTGCGAACTTGACCTCTTTTTCCTCGCATTGCGAACTCCGATACTTCGTTCGGGAATGAGAAGGCTCCGCCACGTGGAGCCACCGGATTCGGCTACCACTGGGCCCGAACTGAGATGAACGAGGTGATCGATAACGGCAAAGCCAGTTTGTCGTTGACGCCATCATTGAAACGAACCACACGATTAAGGTTCTATATAAATTAATATTTATTTTAAGATTATGTTTATATTTATGATCTTCTTACATCACGACATTCCCTTCTTGCTCTCGACAACACATCTGACTCCATCCGATTCCTCATTATTCGCAGAAATTTTTTCAGCCCTAATTAAAAGTCTAATTAACCATATAAATACGTAGAGTACGAGTATAACTAGAAACCCTCGAACACATTGTTTTTTTGGCTATCTCTATAAGGATAGAAGACTGTCAAATATGCATAGAAACTGCAGCCACCAACACAACTCTCTCTTCAACTTTCAAGAAGGCCAGTAGTACTCCAACTTTGACGATTCATGGCAAGAGAAGAAGTGAAATATAAATAGTTTCAACCAGCAATTGACGCGTCTCGATTTCACCTCACTAACTGGGTCGTTGCCCCAAGCGCAAAGATATAAGTGAGAAAAATTCCTTCCAGTAAATCAGATGTAGATCACAGCCAGATTCATGTCCCCACTTATCCTCCCACCGAAATAGTATTTTGTTACTCAGTAAATGCACGAATATGAAGTATAATTATGCATAGCAATACACAAACTGACGGGCTTTTAATCATCAAAGGTACATAGATATTGATAACTCATGTAATGCACAGATGGAATTGCCGTTGAATTTTCTTCAGGCGAATGTATTAAACATCTTATATAGATAGTCATTAGAATTAGTTTTCTATTTGATTACTTCAAACTATATTCATAATATTTTTAGTAACTCCAGTTTTTCATATTTAGCACATGAAAAAATCTAGTGTATGTGATTTGTTATTTATGGAGATTTTTTGCGATGAAACGTACATCTGTAGGCTACGGAGGTGGATATAATTCAAATTTGACGCCAATTTATAGATAACAAAAATGGTGTTTTCGGCTGTACCCTTTCGACAGGACATACATATATTACATTAAATCATGCAGCTATCACAAAACTCACTGATGTCTTTTGAGTGAGGAATATAATACCCATCAATAAAAACAGATTTCGGAGTTGTCGTATCAAACTACTTAGATTAAAAGGGTCAACTGAGAAAGGCTCATATATTTGTACCAAATGAAAGGCACCCGGTCAACTCAGCCCACTTTCTTCCGCTAGAATGAATAAAATAATATATAGCATAATATACATAAACAAACAAACTCATATGATAGCAAAAGAATTCGACGTACATTTTTGTTCAACTATTTCATTCTACTTGTTGCTGCTATTCCAATCGCATTACATGGACATACAAAATTCATATGGCCAAGTTTCATACGTGGGAAAGGGAATGTATATCTCATGAACACTTGCGGTATATTGACTGCAGTAGGCAGAGAATATTCCAGGGCAAACTACGTCGTTCTGAAGGTGTGCCAGTCTGCGAGGTACACAGAACCGTACCTGAAAACGTACACATACACGAGCGTCGTGTGCAGTCAGAACCGTATAGACTGCAGTACGAGAGGCTTGGCATCGACATTGTGACGATGAAGGACGAGGGAGCTTGCTACTCGAGCCTCGGCCATGAATTGTCGTCGTCGTCGGCTCTCACAGTAAATCAATCAATCCTAGCAAGCCTCGCCTCGCCTCGAATCGATTGTACTCAAGCAACACGCGATTCTAATCTCGACCCAAAACGACTGAAAAAATTTCCGAATTCTTGCATTACTGGGAAGAATGTGGTCTCAATGTGTCGAAGTCTGCCTCGGCAGTGAGTTTTGGGTGCATGGGCAGAAGTTGTCGATTAGGGCTGACGGCAATGCCATGCTTCTGAGTCGAAAGAGGAAAAAGCGCGAATTCGACGGGAATTTTGTTGGTTCAATTTGGGCATCGGTAGGGTTTAGGACAGTCGGTCGTGCCGTTGTTTCGAGAGGGTGAGGATCGTGCAAAGATAATGCAGCCTCTGGATGGTACGCGAACTCCGTGTGCTCGGTACGGTATGTCGGGTGCGCTTCTTGGTGGCCGAAGAACGAGGCTAGCAAGATTGCAATCCATCGTCCGGATTATGCCTCCCAGGAAGGAAGGAAGGAAGGAAAAGGCATTAGAAAGCGTGTAGGATTATGCGCTCGAGGTAGTGGCGATGGCGATGGCGATGCCGAGTTGAGACTCTGCGTTTTCGTGGTGTCGGTGTGTCCCTCGTCCGTAGGGTATCCATATCCGGAATGCCCTTTTTAGATACCGGTCGGTCTCGAGGAAAGCTGAGCACGTATCGTGGAATGTTCATGTCACGCGAGGCCCAATCATCATCATCATCACCGCCATCATCCTCATCATCACCTTCTCGTGAATCGACCAGAGCAGAGCAGCAGCGTAACGCGAAGAAGTCGTCTGAAGAGTGTCATCGATGGAGGAAGGGAGGGAGGGAGAGATGGAGGGTGGGGCACTGGGGCAGTAAAATACCAATGTCCCCATCGCTCTGCAAATGTCCTGGGTAGTTTCGTTTGCCGAGCAGGTGGTGCAACCGTTTGGCCCTGGGGTGCAATGATAGGTCATGATGTGCAAGCCTTTCGACAGCCAAGGGCACGAATTCCTACGTATTCTCGGATGGAATTTGTATCCCATGTCATCGATCGGTGTACAGGAAGCGGCGAGAATCATCTTATGATGACTGTCGCCCCGTGGATAAGTGGAGCGCTGGAGATGGTGGTGGACTCGCATCATTCACCGAACTTCCTCGAGACACGGTTTTTCCTTCCTTTCTCGTCTGTGAAAGTCGGAACGAGGCTCGGAAGAAGGTGTGGATCGAGAAGCCGAATTTCCAGATGAATTCATTATCCATAGCCTCGTCCGTGTTGTTCCTCTCTCGTACTCGGGCTGCAGTTGCTGCTGCTGTTTTCCTCAAGTCCTCGTCTCATGGTGGAATGTTGTAGTGCAGCAATAATGGGCATCTTCTAACCATCAAGGCTTTCCTTTCCACCGAAGGATGGCATCAGCGATCTGGTCAAAGTGAGCTTTTTGCCATTTGCTGCGAATCCCATTCGATGTCAGGCAAAAGAGAATACGATACAGGACTGTACAGTACGTTTCACGTTTTAAAAGTAGCAGGAGGTTCTGGAGGAATCGTAGCGTACAGGTCACAGGAGCTGGTCGTAGAAAAGCTGGTGTTCTGGTGGCGTATGTCGACGTGATGAGTACATGGAATGGAGCCCAGCCAAATCGCTCTGTCTGGCATCAGCCATCTAGTGATACAAGGGCAGTATGAGTAGACGATGTGGTGGAAAAGACTGGACATCGACGAAGGAAGATACTCCAAGACGATATCCCTCCTGTCAAATGCACATTTAAATTACAAATTGTGTACTCGAGAGTGGAGAAAAGGGCAGCATCAGAACAGGCTGAGCAGAGCGACAGAGTCACCATCTGATCTGACACACGGAGTCTGAATTCTGATTCCAGCGACTTCTCTGCTCCTGCTCCTGCCCTGCTCTGCTTTTTGCCTCGAGGTTTGCCAGTTGTATCGTGTTGCCGACACAATCGTCCCCCTCGGAGAGCTAGTTGATGGAAGCTGGACGAAGCAGTGGAGCCTGTACCGGGGCAACGATCCTCGACCGATCCCCCTCGGTCTCTGTTTTCCTCTATGTCCCGATCTCTCTCACAATTTCTCAGCCGTGTCGTCTCAGACTGGTCACCATGTCGGTAGGAGTCCGGTGGACACACAGGCAGGAGGATCAGATTAGCATCGAGAAGGAGCACCAGCGGCCGCGAGGTACATACTTACATACCGAGAGATCCATTGATAGGCCCCATAGAGCGGAAGCTTTCTCAAAAGCAGCAAAGGCACCACCTCCTTCAGCAGTCACACCACCTGACTGACAGACATGCGACGTGCCCTCCTCCGGGTAGTTGGGTCCTGATGACCTCGGTGGACATGGAGTCAGAAAGGGTCGTGGTCCGTGGACTGAAGCACATTAATGAACTCCTAAGCGTCACGGTGAGGTGAAATCTAGTCCTAATGAACTCTTGTGATCTGGGTCTTAAGGTCAAGATTTATCCACTACGGTGTTGCAAATGTGCCGAGATCTCCTGTAATGATCATCGGAAGCACCCGCTGATGAAAAAGGCGAATGAGCACCCAGCAAAGGTTGCTAGTGCTAGCGCCAAGGGCCTCTCTCTTGGAACAGTCAGACAGTCAGTCAGTTCTGTCAGTGGGTTAACTCTTGCGGGCTAGTTTCTGCTTATGGAACGGTAGCTTAGCCATAGCCTCAGTTTCGCACATAGCCTCACAAATCCTCATCATCACGAAACACGAAGTACATTTCAATCATACAGGCATTTCAGGAAAAGCCATTAGGGAGGCGGAGAAAGAGAAAGACCACATGATTGTTGGCGCTGTCTGTCGCCCCCCTGCTCCACCACTCTCACTATGCCTTCTTTCTTCTTCCACTCCAACCTAAACTGCCCAGAGCGAGAGTGAGTTCCATGTCTCACTTCTCTATGGACTCCGTTTTAGTTGGCTCCCCTCTCCGTATGTATTCAACGCTGTAGTGTGTCTTGTGCCCAAGTGTGAGAGAAACTGACACAAAAGTCTCATTCCTTGAGGAGTTCTGCTTTGACGCATTGGACAGAGGACCCCTGACTAATGACAGCTGCTTTGCCTCGAGCGAGGCAGGCACCCCTGCTCACAGACAGACACCTCTACTCTAGGATAGTACAGAATAGAAGCTAGCTTGGGGTGCTAGTAGGCTGTTCTGTAGGCAGGCAAGCAGGCTTCGTCTCCTCCTTTGCAGCATAGACTGCTGGCTTACTATAGCAGGAGATATAGAAGCAGCTACAGGTGTCGCCTGAATATAACCTAAAAATATGCCATACTCACTGTTTGGATGGGATGAGATGGGAAGGGTTTTAGCAGCAGCAGACTGCGGTCCGAGACCGTATAATGGCGTCGCTCTGGGTGATTGCGTGCTGCTGTGGTAAGCTTGGCGATCGAGGAAGAGGCTCCCGAGGCCTAGAAGATGGGCGGAAGTAGTGTGCCAGCCGATTTGACAGGCGGAGAGGTTGAAAAAGAGAATAGGAAGGATCTGGTATTCCGAAGGTAATAAACAAGAGACGTCATGAATGAGCACCGACTTAATGCACTGAATAACGACTCGTTGGAGATTAAGTTTTCAACTCGATAGGGTCATCTGCATTAAACGTATGAATCCAGTGGTCAAAGAAGGCGCGCAGGACGGCAGGCATAATCGAAAGGGAGATGATAGCAAAATGGTTTCAATTTCCTCTCCCGTAGGCTCTATGCTGATGGGACTATAGGTGTTTTGAGTGGCCATTACTATGATCGAATTAATGGAAGCGATCCATGCACACGTCAGGGGGATCACATGACGGCTATACTGAATGATATCAAGATAATCTGCTCCATCTCCGAAGGCCTCTAATGATTCAAATGATGCATTGATGACATTTATTTCACTTCCTTGTTCTTAGTAGGTAACGACGGTTCAAAAGGTGGAGAATGGTACTATCTCCAGAAACCAGCTCTTACAACATTCTACCTGCGCTGCTTTACATTCCTGAGTTGTTACATTGCTGTAAGGGAGCCCTTTTCGTTCTCTTTTAGCAATGGTTGTGCTTTGCATATGTCCTTTTCTTTTGGCTCATTCTCTCAGACCCTCCAAAGGTACATATTTATTCATATCTAGGCCAGGCGACCTCTTTCGAAGCTCCCTTCCGGAGTCGAAAGAAGTTGTTAAAAAATCATGAGTAGAAGCCTGTGAACTGTATCTTTATTCGAACGAATGACACTTCCACATAGTCCTGGGATGCTTTACAGGTCTTCCATAAGGCAAATGGGGTGTCTGCTACCACATGTGCCGGAGAGTTCGGCACCCATGACCTTTTTTAGAAAAGAACACCCGGTCGATGACGGAAAGCTCCATTACATAAGACTTGAGTACGAGTGCTTCCATAGACAGGCGCAAGCAGTTTGTAGATACACGCAAAGCGCAAATAACGCACTTGGAGACACAATTTCAGTGATAGCGAGCATTGAGTGAGTTGATACATCTTCCCTTTTAGGGAAAACCATCAGACACAGCATGAGGTATACTCAAGTGATGTGTGTAATGCATCCCACGCACCTCATTCGATAGCCAACGAATTTAGATCGGCTTATGAACTTTTATTACCATGAGGAATTCCATTTTGAACTGGAATTCACAAGGTGGTCACAATTGGACTAACTAGTGGGGAGACACCCCATTTGCCCCATCCCGTAATTTGAAGGGAAAGGTCCTCTATCTTTCGGTCATTTTACAAGATACTTTCCAACGGCAGCGGTCCCAATTTATTGTACAGCTGACTACCTCGACTGGTGTCAATTGATAACTAAAGAATGTGATATGGAATAATTTCTTGACGGAGGATCTTCGAATCATATCTCCAAGGGTTTCAAAGCCCCCCAATTGCTGCCGACCTGAATCTTCACTCGCAAGGGAACTGCGAACACGCAGATTTCCAACGAAAACGTTATTACACTTCAAGTTGCAACGTCTCCTGCGTAGCACTTATTTCAGCGGCATTCAACACAATATGTCTTCCTCCAAAGATGGACAATAGAGCAACGTGTGGGTAGTGATATGAAATTCATTTATTGGTTTCCAAGTTCTTGTGCAAATGGATCACATTGTTCGCTTGACAAATTGACCGTGCTCAGAGAGGATGACATTCTCTGACAGTGAATTAAGTGAGAATGATCGATAAATACCTTTAAGCTTGACGACCCCTTCCATGCATGAGCGTACTACTTCACTCACTTCTTTCAGAGCCGTTCTTTCCACCTCCAGGACTAGCTCGTCGTGAATCTGAACAAAAGCTTCACACTTCAGAACATAGATGTATAACAGGGGATGGGAAGCTCTTGGTGAAAACACATAAAACGTCTAAAATACTCAAGCAGGTCATGCATAACTTAAAGACCCAACAAAGATGAGTGGCTGAAGGGAAGCTGAACAACTTGAACCTCCCGTGCTCGACTTTTATTGGACTACTAGAAATTGAACTGTTTAAAGGTTTTACCTGTAAAAGTAATCGACATCGCCCCTTGATGTCCGACGGATTTCCTTCTGCTGTATTGGACTTCTTTATGCATGAAGACGCTTCATCTCCATATATAGCAGAATGCAATTTGATCATGGCCATCTTTATGAGATCTGCTGCAGACCCCTGGTGATACACATGTCGTAAAAGTTTCAAACCATGTGAAAACTGAGGGCCCGCCTATGACTCGTTTAATTTTATTTTTTTAAAAGATCATCCAAAAGTTCTTGAATATCAGATTTACTCTTCGGTTTGGTTCGGTCCAGAATTGAAGTTGTTACGCACAAATCTCTGAAAGGTAATGAGAATATATTCATTGGCCTAAGAACAAGACAGAATTTCTAAATCCCCAGAGCTCAGAAATAACAAGATCTGAAACAAGGGCAAATTCACTAACTTGCCTGACAAATTGTGTTGGCACTTTGCCGTCCAGCTCGTGCCTGCTCAGAGTAAGAACCCGTGTTGATCTTCTCCAGAAAACGTTTCCTTCCGCCGAGTGTCACCACATACCTGCATGATCCAGATCTATTCATAAGCTTCCTAGTAAATAGATGGTCGATAGATTTGGAAACAAACAACTTCTCGTACTTCAAGAGTCTGCGACAATAGGATGAATAGGTACCCTTTTTGCCGGCAGTTGATGAGGGCTTGATTTAGCCAAGCGGATAATCCAGGAAACGCAGCTTTAAACCGATCTAAGTACACGGAGGCTTCTGCTACGCTGGCGTCAAGATGTTCAGCCAACGTGTGAACACCCATTCCATACAGAATTCCATAGACCAAGCGCTTCGTTTGCTCTCTTTGTTTGATACTCACGGTATCTTCCTCTTGCCCTGTCCACTGTGCTGCAATTAACCGGAACAAATCTCCGGATGGTCTACTTAAGAGATCTATCATTGCAGCATCCTCTGCAAAGTGGGCCATAAGTCGAACTTCAATTTGCGAGTAGTCCGCAGAGAGGAGTACCCATCCCTCCTGTAATGAGAAAACAAAGGATGAATGACACACAGCTCATATGAAAATAGGGCTGAGCGAGAAACAGATAATGAGATTTGTGTGCACACGACTGCATCGTTCCTGATATACTGAAGAGGTTCTTCTATCTTCTCCAATGTGGTCAAATCCAGCGCCACATTTCTCCAAAATGATGACACAAAACTACTTTAGCAAATAACAAGGGGGCAATAGTTTCTTGGTCTTTCGATAAGAACTGACTGGCACATTTATGTGAGAAGAGGGGGATGTCAAATCGTTCCGAATTTTTCAGAGTGATGAGGAAAGTTACCATGCGCTGACCTGACTGTTGAATCTCTGATTGCAAAGCTGGACAACAAGCCTAATCAAGTCTGAAAAGCTAAGTAAGATGAGGCACACGCTGGAACTCTTTGTGTATGAGTCTGTAAGTTATACCTGTGTTGGAACAAACAACTCGCGAGCCTTGATTTCTACGGGTGAGTTTGTCGCTCCATCTATAGACGGTTGAAACCCTTGGTCTTCGATAAGGCATATAGTATTCTCAACACACTGGCAAAAGAATCAAACCATGTTATAAGAATGAGCTTTAACTTGACAAAGAAGGTCCTCAAATGAGACTGTTCAAACGGTAAATCAAAACTACACGTTCGAAACGAGGCACCTCCCATGATTGGATCCAATTAAGTTGTCCATTCCATCAGTAGACTAATTAACTGGTTACCAAAGAATATAAATTTGGAAGTCAATGAGTTCAGAATAGCACACCGATTGGCATCCAATCTAACAAAATGGAATGAACATACAAGATGAAACCTCGTAATGATATATCCCGTCAATATGAAACGCTGGTAACAAACTAAACTACACAGTTGAGCCACAAGGAAATTATTAGAGGACTGATGTTGAGAGCTTGGGTCGGAAGAGGCCACAACACTGTTTCAGGCGGCATGTCTAGGTACACTCAAAAGCCCACCTGAAGATTTGGCTCCTCCATCGCAAGCCTCCCTGTTGCAGTGGATGTGTGAAGCCAGCGCCCAAATATTTGGTGGACATGACCTGAGCTTCCCAACGTATGAGGAGATTTTGCCCAAGTGATTATACTACCAAGGGTGCTGTGTAACAACTTTGAAAGTTTTCTGTGCTCTTGAATAACAGCTGCAACTGGATGCTGTTCTCTGCGGATTCCAAGCGAAGCAGGACATAAGTTTGTCATATAATAATGGAAACTTTCTGCTATCTGCGTCTTGCACTTGCTCACAATGCGATTCTAACAGTGTACAATGCTTCCTACAGCATGCTCAATAATGAAAAAAGGAAACTCCATTTAAATTCCAGCATATGGCAAAACTAGTTTTATTCTGTTGCGTTGAATACAGCTGCTTTATTCCAGAAAAAAAGCTCATGATCGTCTTACTTTAGGAGCTCCAGGGCGTGTTTGTTAGTACTTGGATGGTGCTTTCCAGCAGGGCAGCCCGCAGGTACAGGCAACTTTAGATGCTTATACAACACATTCGCTACATCCGCAGGCAAAGATAGAGAAAACGCTTTTCCCGCCAAATGATGTGCTCTAGCCTCAAGCTCCTTGAGTCGTTCCTCGAGAACCTGGCGAGTGCGGGAACAGGCATCCATATCTATCCCTACGCCTGACGTTTCCATGGCTGCAAGCACCCTAACCTGCAGTGCCATCCGCGCCAAATCAATTTCGTGCTCCAAATACATCCATCAAAGGATCTCTCTATGATCACAATCTTTTCAAATTCCCTATACTTCTGCAGCTGACACTGGATGATGACATCTAAGTTATAAATATATAACCATGATCAAGATCGAAAGGAAGATTGCTCACGAGGGGCATCTCGATCATCGATAAAGGATGATTCAGGCCTTCTGAAACTAGAAGTTTCCACAAGGCAGAATGTAGAGCCCGGGTCTGCGCGGCACGACGACAACAACCATTGTGGGAAACTCTTCCCATCTGGTTTGACCATCTTCCAGCTCTGCTAGCTATGGCTGCCACCTCACCCGATAATCTTTTCTTCACCTCCTGTTCAGAATCACCGAGAATGAATAACTTTATCCAACCACTGAGAATTCATTTCTACCAATCTTCACAGACCTGGTCTCACCAACCTATGAGTAAGCAATGACTGCTCAGATGGGTGCTACTAACAACGAAATACAGTCCTGGTATATATGGTGAGAAACTAACAGCTGCATTAAGACGAGTTGTTGAAACTCATACGTGCTTCAACCTACGGAGAAAGAAATGTCTAAACAGGAAATAAAAGTTTTCTAGTAGAGAATAGATGTCAAGATAGAGTTCTGGTAGCGGAAGAACACTAAAAGATAGGTTCCGCTTAAAGCAGAGACAAGTCAGATGCGATGATGTCTCAAATGTATCCGACAAGAAGTAACCATATCTAATCTCATCCAACGGACTATGTATTCATAACTCGATCAAATCACCATAAATGTATAATAAGAAGTGAATCCCAAATCGAGCTGTAAGATGTGATAAGGATCCTATTTTACCTGTTCCAGTGTGAGGGTGTGACTGCTTTCTTCGTCCGGCCATAGAAGCCAGGCAGCAATTCGAACATCAAAATATGGTTCAAGTAATTTCAGTGGAGGCATTTTAAAGAACTCACAGTCTCCTAACTTGTTTCCAAAGACCGTCGCAACTCTTAAACTGTCGACTTTTTCTGCAGCAGCTGAAACTACAGGACTTTGGAGAGCTCTAAACTGGTCCTTCAAGTTCCAAGTGATCTTTCGTAAACTATTTCTACAGAGCATACTGCCAACTTTGTCCCAACGTATCATATGCATTTCTGTTTGCATCCCTATTTTGGTTGTCTCACCTCTCTGGAAAGCACTTGTCCCGTCGTTTAAACTATTATTAGGCACGATATCCGACAAATGTACATAATAAACGGGAGAACCTTCCCAGCAAATAGCTATTCCTACTATTTCAAATTCCTCTTCTAAGGAATCTGTACTGTGATTCTTATAATTAAGATCGAAGACAAACTCCTCGACTCCCAACCATGTTTGAAAAAAACGGTCGAAACCGCCATCCATTTTATCTACATCTACAGGACCGCTAAGGACTTTGCCAGTGGCGATTTGCGGTTCATCAGAAGCCTTCTTTGGGCTTCGTTCTTTGAATATGTCGGCTCCTCCAAAAGGGCGACTCGATGCATCCATGAAAACAGTTTCCTTGAACTTCTGAATTACAGGTTCAACATTTGCTGTGGACAGCATAGTTTTCTTTATGGATATAGTATCCTCCATGTCAATACATGTTCCTTCTTTTTCTTTGTTGTCCTGCGCAAGCATCTTTTTGATGCTTAAGTCGACATCGACAGGCGCAGCTAGTTGAGAACCAATCCCATCTCGACGTAGAGTTTGAGCTCCTACTACACTGACGCTGCCTGATATCTGCAAGTTCCCGTTACCTTGATCCCCATCCGCAACAGGTTGAACTTGAGGTGGGGGATGACTGCGCTCAGTTTCAGCCTCATCACGAACTTCATCTTCATCAACGTTTGAGGGTGCAACCATCTTCACAGGAACTGACAGAGAAGGGACATCGACACCAAGAGCTCGCATTGCCGAAAAAGCCGCAATTCTAGCTTCCTCCGCTCGATCAACAACTATGCGCTGGGCTCCGTACTTGATTTTTCGAGCTAAACCTTTCAAGACTCGTTGCTGCACCATCCTTCTCGATTCATCTGCAGATGGGTTAGAAGAGTGGATGATGTCATGCATGAATCCGAATGTGCTTGATAATGGCAAAAGACCTAAGAACAGAGCTTTCACTCGTAGATATTTGCGTAAGATAAGAAACAAAAAATACTCTGCACTTAGGACATTAATAACAGGGAAGCATAGTAAAACATAATTAATAATGTTGTGTCTCCGTCTTCAAATTTGGTTTTGTGACACACCTTGAGCAACCCAGGGAGTGGCGTCAATTAAAGCCTTCACCAACTCGGGCATAGAGGCTTCCGCAACAGCCTGAATTGTACGTAGGCCTGCCTTATATAACCCCCGAGCTCTGGATCCCTGATGAAAGTTGAGCAACACGTGTATCTGAGAGCTTGATAAATTTGTGGAAAGCATGACGTTCATCGAAACTCTACCATAGCTACAGACGATAGAAAATCGTCCTCGGATTCTCAAAACGTCTCATTTATTCAATGAACGTTTTTACGGAAATGCTCAAATACAAAAGAGTAAACTGCAGAGCAGGATTGCACCTTCACAAAAGGTATCTCAGTCAGCTCAACAATTTCAGATTTTACTCCAAAGGAGACACGACTCTGAAACTTTGAGACCAAGCCTTCCAAATCGTGCCAACCGAGTCTCTGACAAAATCCAGACACCATAGCGGCAAATCTTCCAGCACTGGCTTGAAGGGCTTGCACTGTTCCTCTGGGCACTTTAAAGGAATCAGATACCTCCATCAACGGCAGTTCCTGCAAGTGAGATCATAGTCACAGAATCGAACTTTCAGAGACCAATACTTGGACCCGGAAGAATGCCTCAGCTGTGAATACAGATCAGACTAGAACGGAATGAATACTGGACGATCCAGACCTGCACAAGCTTTGAGAGCATCAAAGCAACATAGAAGCGCCTGCACACACGTAGCACGTTGTCCATTGACAATTGCCTGCCTCCGTAGTTATGAGGAGAAATCAGGCCAACTCGAGCTTTGGGACTTTTCCCGCTTCCTTTTAAGCGGCTCCCTGACTGCACAGGGGCCCCATGCGCCATTCGCATAAGAAATGGCTCCATGACTCCCACTCTGTTGCCAACCGCCTTCAAAAGACAACGAGAATCATGTTCAAAAATATCATCAAATCTGAGTTCAAAAATAGGAGATGAATGAAAAGGGTTGTCTCTCAGAAGGACTCTTCTCGTAGGGCTTTTGCTAATGAGCATGAAAATTTCACAAGCAAGATAAGTCCTGGTTATATCAAGCATGCACCTATTGTCAATTGACAAGCAGAAACAAAAATCGGCCATTTCGGCACATGCTTCTCGTACACCAAGGTGCAAAATTATGTTTCTTCTTCTGCTTCTTGTGTATTACCAACTGTTAGAGTCGATTGAGTAAAATTGAAGATCTTATAGAAACCATAGAAGTGGCGGAATTTAGGAGTTAGAAAAGTAAGTCAGCGCTAAGTGAATCTATCATGCTTCAAAACAAATCCCTCAACTTTTGGTTGCAATATATTCGCTGGAAGCTCAGTCTCGTGTGGATTATGTGCACTACCAGTCTGAAAGAATCACATCAGTAACATAAAGGTGCCCTAACTTTGGTGGAACTCATGCTTATTATCAACAAGTCAAAACTTTTTGCCGGCCACTTATGTTGGTTATGGGATGTATATAGAGTCCTCAATTTAGCTCTTGCAAGGCAGGTCGGGAATGAACCTGCTCAAGATGTGAAAGCTCTACAAATTTTGAATAGAAGAGCGACCAATCCGGCTCCAGTTCCACATAAATTGGAGTCACTTGATATACTAGATGAAGATCTGATGCTAAGACAAAGCCCTCTCTAGCTTTGGCTAAATCTTCAAAAACGATCTGCATGACGGATGGGAACAACATAAAAGTTAGTCAATGTATGTGTGCTTCACAAATCAGACAACTGCCACGCGCAAATGCGTTCAATATCATACAGCACCTTCGCTCTCTTTACCGTCCTCCGTTTTTCTGACATAAAACAATCAAGAGTTCACAGAGATAAGAATGTTTGATGACAAATTGTAAGGGGAAAATATTCTCGAATAATTTACCAAAGACTCCTCTGGAGTCAGAGAGCTACCAAACGCAGCTCGTCCTAGAGGTGTGGTGCTGTACATCTCTGTCTCGGAACACCATTCCAGGAACTTTTTAGAACAAAGCCAACGTAGGGCATCCTGCACACCTTTCACAACATGGTCAAAGGATTCTGTGGAGTTGAGAAGTGTGCAACGAACGTAGCGATGAACGTCCTGGGGTGTCTGCACCATTCCACCAGCCACAACTTCCAGCAAAGCTCGCATCATTCCGATCTTGTCATTAGTAAGACAGGAGTGCAGAGGTTCACAGCCTGAGGTAATAACGTTGGTCATCCGTTTCACTTCTTCAGGCTTGCAAATTAATACCTGCAACATAAGAATAAAGAGAGTAAATCTCTGGATCTGGTCCCTTCTCACGAAATGGAAAACTGGAGAAGTCCTCGACCTACTACTATCCAACAAAGTTCGGTGATAGGATTGGTTGCCTTCCAAGCATCAACTCAGACTAGTTGGAATCGACAACAGATAGGAAGGACGGCTGCAGATCTATTGCGGTTAGGACATGTAGATTATCAACAGTGAAGGAAGTACGTCCAGCAGCCACGAGGAAAGTTTTTGCTTCGAGGATCCGCACGTTCAGTGATTTTGTTTCAGGCATTGTTAAGAATTGCGCTTAAGCAGCAAAAAAACAATTTAGTATTAATCTTTGAACTACAATCAGCGTGTTCCATGAAGAATTCCGAGCATAAACCTTCTCTGAGTACCAATCATGGGAAAATGTATCCTGCTCACGATTGATGACCTTAACCGTTAGAATTCACTGATATTGTGAATGAAAGATAATCGTGGGGTGTACTTTCCCCTGAGTGAAGAGGTTATTGTGTACATACACTTTCTCCTTTGGTGTCGATACCAGCACGTCCTGCTCGTCCTGCCATTTGTCGATATCTCGTTCCGTCCAAAAAATCTCTACCAACTTTAGGCTGTCGAAAAATAACCCTTCTGGCTGGTAGGTTCACCCCTGCTGCAAGTGTAGACGTTGCTGTAAGCACGCGTACCACGCCTTGTTTGAAGCACTGCTCGACCACCTCCCGCTCTTCCATCTTGTCATGATAATCGCAGCGTAAAACAAAGCATTCAGATATGACATCATAATATGAAGACATGTTAACAATATCTTGTGAATGTTGAGAGCGAGATTTCGAAATTCAACCAACGCACGGTCATAGCTTCTACGAGTTCCCTCATCAACAAGTAAGCTTCAACTTGCAGAATCTCCGAAACTATTTATATACCGTGAGGCCCGCATGGTGATATGCTACCCCTGCTGGTAAGGTTATGGCAAGAACTGGGTCCAAGCCAGATGCAGACTTCCGCAGCTCTTCCACAGCTTCAGCACCAGAAGTGAAGCCATTTGAAGCTCCTCGTTGGGCCGGCGAAAAAGGAGGTAAAAACTTTGCAATATGCAGAGCAGATGTCTCACATGCTTTGCGACTAGAGCAGAAGACCAGTACAGAGTTTCCCTCACTTACAACCTGCACATAACCTTCTGATTAGGCACGATATACATTTTGACCTAGGAGTGAATTACTATAACTCTCCGAAATAATCAATAACCAGGTAAAGTGTCTCACGATGATCTACACAAGGGCTCCTACCAAGTCATTGTTGAATGGAATGGTTTCAAGATGAGATCCCCGAAAACGCATGTTCGACTACAAGTGAGACCTTTAATCTCAAATAGTCCTAAGTCTTCAGCCTCCCTCTTACTCCAACTCCTCTAACTTCCACTTCTTCCCAGACTTTGACTCCTAGCATCGCTCAACCAGGGCACAAGATCCATTCTCTATGACAGACCATGAGACGCAAATATCACAAAGTACAGTCTGAAAAATCTGTAATCTTATTTTCAGGTTCCAACAGTGCAATTTACGAGATTCAACAGGCTTTGAGGTGTATACAAAAAGTTGGAAGGTGATTTTGGCGTATTAGACTCACAAAGGACACAAACTGAAGCAACCACGATGTAGATTTATGTTAAGATATCGATCCAGCGGTGATGTAAGATGGACAAATATGCAACAGAAGCTTTACCTGAAATAGACTGAGTAAAATTTTTCTTCTACAACAAGTTAAGAAACTATCTGAAGAAAAAAATTTAACGCTCGGAGCTTCTCTATTACCTCATGACACAATTCAACGACATGATCCGGATCTTTTCCTCCAAAATCAGCTCCTTTGCGAATGTGCCGTACTATTTCCATGTTTTTGTTGTACAAAGCACTGCCCACTTTTAGATACTCCTCCAGGGGCACTGGCCGAAAGTCAGTCACATACAGTGAAGCCTGCAGGAGCGGAAGCAAGTGTGAGTACGCCACCAGGAAGCCACATACCGTTGTTTTACGGTGGTTTGCTGCTACATTATATTATGCAGATTATAGCCTTCTTTCTTAACTGAATGATTCATCTTCATCGTAAATGAATGTCTTGATCAAGTCAAGATTCCACCCTAAACGGCCTTAGGCTTCAAGTGTTCACCGATCAGAAATTTTGCTCTACGAACCGTACGAGATTTGGCCATTCACACGGCTCTCTAACCTGACTTTCTTCAGAGCTTCTTCAAACACGAGTAATTTTTGAATCTCAGTATTTGGTGTAAGTCCCCATTCTACGGCCAACCAGATAAGGCGTCAAACATGGACCTGTAGCCAGTGAGAAACTGCTGCGATGTTTGGCATTGTTGCGCTCATCCCCACAATCTGTAAGTCTGTTCTTAAGTCACCCTTGGAGTTTCTCTGAAATGGAGAACTTCTGACAGCCACGCCTTCTTGACTCCCATCGTGTATATTGTCAATCTCTCCGCAGGCAAACCGGATCTTCGTCAAGAGTAACTCCAAAAGATAGCCCCGCTCTCGATCTCCAACCTGGTAGAGCACCGTTATCGTCCTTCCAGTTTAGCAATGAGATAACCACTAAAAACTGGAAGTGTAGGAAACTTGTGAGAATTTGCAACCAGATAATAAGCTGATTACATTATCGTCGTAGAGATACATCCTACTGCGTATATCTAAGTTATACCTAACTGTATCATTGATCAGCATCATCTACCGACAGAAACTAGAAAGTCATTACAATGCTCTTGGATGCACTTCAAATTTCCCATCATAGCAAGTTAGCCACTAAATTAGCCGGTAGACAAATGGGATAGTGTAAGCATGTCCTGGTTCGTTCTGCTATATACTGTAGGAGCAAACAGCCAGGTTAATACGTTACATACTCACCATATGAAGCTCATCGATCACTATCATGGCGATTTCCGGGAGACGGCCTTCTTCAAGCAGTTTGTTTACAAGAGAGTTTGCTTTCTCTATGGTACAAACAGCAATCGATGTATCTCTTGGCAGAGTGGCACTTCCTTGTGTCCCGAAGTAGCAGCCGACCCGCTTGCCAAGAGGTTCCATTACAGCCTCCAAATGCTCAGCCTGCGAAAAGTGAGTGATAGATGAATAGCTATTGAACCAAATAAAAATCACTCTTCGATTAGGAGCAGTTTCTGCGAAAGAGGTTGCAAACAAACAACCGTAGATGAACATCTGTTGATTGACTTCCATATTTTATCGAGAACGGATAATTTCCTTGGTAGAGAGGGCCGTCGTTCAGGTACAGTGATCAGAAGAAACGACTCATCTTATAAGGGCAAAAAGACATCCGGTATATTCTATCAAACTGCCATGTCTATCGATATTCAGATCGCGTCTAGTAGAGGTTTCAGGTCTAGTCTTGAATGACGGTCGTGTTCGTCTAAAATTGCAGAGTAAAACCTGGTAAAAAATCTCAAATAATCAACTTTTTCTATCATCAGACTGCATCTATGCAGACACTTCCAGCCTACTTTCTTCTTTCCCCGAAAATGTCGTCTTAATCTTGAAACTCCTAGTGAGGCTTTCTCCGATCTTTCCGTTTGCTTCAGCAAGCTGTGAACGAAGGAAACTATAGACGAATCGTACATAAAAACCACTGTGCAGACATTAACGTTTAGTGCACACCTTCTCGCTGCAGATTGAAACAAATGGCAGAACAAACAAGGCTATCCTTCCTGTTGCTATTATTCGCTTGATCATCAACAGCTCCGCAACGAGACTTTTGCCGGCACTGCAACAACACAAGTATCTTCCTTGAAGTGACAAACTCGAAGATTGAGTGTAGCTTCAGTCGGAAGCTTCACCGCTTTGAATGTAACTAATTTTTATACATCGGAAAAAAAGCGAGAACCACATTCGATGTAATGAATGAAAAAGTGATCACGCAGCTATAAATTACAGCACCGATTTCCAGTCATCTCGCAGCACCTGACAACCACAAGGGACACGATGACACCTGATTAACAAAATTTGCTGAATACTCCCGTGCTTTACGAACCTTGTGGAAGCGCTGTATATGAGGTTTTTCCCTTCCAAAACGCCATCTATTTGCAGGCACTCCATCTGAAGCAAGTTGTATCGTATCAACTAGGGCCCAGTTCAAGCGCATAATATCAATGATATCATCCATAACCAAAACATGGTCAAAAGAGGGAAACAATGGCTCAATACATCTATTGAATTGCACAAGACCCAAACATGGTCATGGGTTACAGAGTTTCGAATGTACATAGAATGCATAATGTCATGAAGCTAAACAAGACCCAAACGTCGAGACTAAAGTCCTCGTGAAGTTGTCTTCTTTTACAATACAAGTATGTCGTCCAAAATCTGATTGTCTTCAATGCCCATTATAGGTGCTGTTACATCATCCCAGGATTAAACTAGAATAACGTGAACTTAACTCGGACGGTAATTCTTTAAATATACAAGTAAGTCGTTCAGATTGATCCAGCTGACTTCTATGCCCATATGAGTACTATTACATCATCAATGATCAAATTCGAACGCGGTGAACTTGACTCGGAAGGTAAAACTATCTTACTTGCCAGGGGTACAGATGCTTGAGACCCTTCTTAGCATAAACATTTGCCACTTCCTGAGGGAGCCAAGCATTGAGCTCCATGCTTTTTTCCTGAAGTGCGCGTCCAAACGAGGACTCAGGGGTCGTTGTAACGGGTCTCCGATCTGATCGCTCTGACGGTGCAAGAATATGTACATTGTCTTGCCTCTGAGCCTCCTCGGATATGTACAAGTGTGAACTTCTGTTTGATCTTTTAAGAGATTTACTGCCATTTTCTACCTTAGTATCCAATCTTACATCTCCAGGGCCAACATGGTCCTCCACCATTGGAATATCTTGACAATATTCCAATGGAGCAATCTTCTGTTCGTCATTGAGTCCAAGAGGCCTGTCATTGAATGCTATCTGAGCTACACCTTCGACCTCTTTGTAGGGGGCAGGAAAATCTTCCAAGTCGTGTATTTCTTTGCTTCCAGAGAAGTCAAAATGCCGTACTGGTAGAGGAGATGCTGCCTTTGCACCCAAATGCTTAAGCCAGCCACCAACTCTTCCGTCCTTTACTGTTTTCGAAAAGCCCTCAAAGGATCTGGTATGTAGCTTCAAATCTTTTACCTGTTCTGGGACTTTGGAAACTGACGTCCCATTTACCTTCGAAACAGCAGATGTATCTTTTGCTTCTGTCAACATCCGCAGCTTGTCATGTATGTTGGAATTTGCAGCATGTCGAGTTTCAACGTCCGCAGCATCCAATACAGTCAGCTTTGCTGTGGCTAACACCTTATCACACTCTACACCAGCCTTGGATGACAGAATAATACCACTGCTTCCAGTTTTCTTGTCCTGAAATTCGCCTTCTTGAACCTGACTACAAAGACCCCTTTGGCTGGGAGTACTGGCGGCAACGACAATCTTCGAAGCAAGTAACGACCCGGCAACCTCTATGGCTTCGTCCCAGAAATCGTCACCCGGAGAAAAAAGGGAGCTGCGATAGACTCCTCCACTTGCATTCAAATGGCTCGGACCTTTCAGTAAGGTTTGTGGAGTGTGCAAACGTCTACCTTCAAGGCTGTTTGGTTGGAAATTAGCCTTTAAGTTCACAGCGGGGGTGTTCACTTTGCTGCCCGACGAATTTCCAACCTCGTCACACGCTTTTGCTTCATGTCCACGTTCTAAGGATAATACTTCCGTCAGAACCAAATCGGGAGGTGTTCCCCTTACTCTCGTCTCAGATCCAGTTTTCAATTCAATTGGTGATGCGCAGACAGACTGACTGTCTGTTAATGACAAAAATTCCTCAGAGACTTCACCACCTTCAAGTAGTCTTGTACTCTGCTGCTCTTCAGAGTCCTCATCACTGCTGCCAATCCTTGTTATCAATAGCTGTTCAGCTATACTTTCAGTTTCCTCCTCACAGTGCAGGTTTTGACCTCCCTCCGACAACCTTGAGTAATGACAAGGCTTCTTCTCGGTAGTGGCATCGTCCAATTCAAGCCTTTCCTTCCTTTTTCTCGAGAAGTTTTGGGCACTAGGGGTTTCAGATTTCGGGGGATCGGCTGAAGTTACCACGCTGAAAACAGGGCAAACGAGTTGGTTTCTTTTGCCACAAGTGGTCACTTAAAGAGATCGAAATGATGAATCACAGATTCACAATCCAGGACTTAAAGTAACGTCTAACATATTTCACTAACTATCAATCAATATTTCGATAGAGACATCAACAACTGAAAAACCGTTATGGGTTCACAAAACAGTGCAGGGGTTACCAATAGTTTAAACCGAACGCAAGCTACCTGTTGAGTTTATATGGTTTACCTGAAGAAGTTAGAGAGGAAATCACTGGCAAACTGAGTAAGTTGAGGAGCTTCCGAGTCGTCTATTTCGGGTTCCGCTTTTTGCTTCCTTCTACGATAAACTGCGCCGATACCAGGCGAGGATGCTCTCCTCTCTCCGTAATTTAGAGCAACCCCATTACAGACTTCAAACGAAGCATTCCCTGCAGCCAATTTGGCTGCATCTAGTTCGCCAACTCCTTTTCTGAATCGGACTCCATGGCTTTTACCTTCCACTTTAGGTACGCCAGTTGATTCATCATACTTAAGAGGGCCATGTGCAGTTGGAGAGATCCTGCTATCAGGAGAAACGAGACCGATAAAACCTTCTCCAGTTTCCGATACTCCAGCCGTAGAGATGAGCCCCTTATTGGAGATTTTAACTGGTTGCGAGACTGGCACATGACCGGCTCCAAGGCTATCTCTTCTCTTTGAAATTACTACAAAACTTTCCAAGCTCCCTTTCTTTATCGGAGATTCGTCCAATCTTTCCTCGTACAAAACATCTCTGTTTACCTTAAAGCCAGAAGATTTCTCAGGACTTGCATGTTTTCGCTTCCTTACTCGAAAATGCTGCAAACCCAACAAAAGATGTCAGGCTGCAAAATCCATCTTTCAACACTGTCTATTGATTAGCTGGGAATGGGGATAGGATCTCACGCTTCAATACGGATCTTCACGAAAATAATGAACAATATATTTCCGTCGACTCTTCACAGGAATACTTCTCAAAAGTGCACATCAGGTTGTCAATATACTCATGAATACAAATGTCGATGATATTCCTCCGGATTCAAAAAACTCCAAGTTTCACATAATTCACCGGTTGGAAGAAAGCAAATCAGAAGGTGAATTTCGCAGAGTCGTAGGACAGCCCAGTAAGCTTTTACAAAGCAGAAATAATTCAGTCGATCGACCTGGGCATGCAGTGGTCTATGGTCGCATGGCTGATCCATCTCAGAGGTGATTACAATTCTTCGGTATTTCATGCACGATGGTGTAACCACGACGGCAAGATATCAGAACGAAACTAACCTGATCAATGGTACACTGCCGCTGCTCCATGAAGAGCTCAACTGTATTTTGCTACATACAAGGCGATTTGTAGACTCCTCATAGACCGTCTCTGTATGAAAAAGCCCCAAATTTTAGTCCTGTCTCCCATAGAGGAGGTGACTCTTCGATATTCGAGCCCGCAACGTGATCTACAGAGATAATTTCCCTGCTCCAAACAGAATTACTCTAACTCCGTCACTCCTCTCCTGCCCTGCCCTGCGCAACTTCGAAGCGCTTCGATAAATGCTAAAAAATCCCATAACGCCTTCATAGGAGCGGACGAAATTCCTAAAGACCCAACAACATCATATCCCTTGAATCCAGGCGAGAACGCGTTGCGCCAGTGACCTGTGCACCATTTGCATTCAACCACACATGGAAACATTGAAATCCTAAGATCACAGTAGACAGTGAGAAAGAAAGAACGTGCGGCTGCTGATTTCACCTCACCTGAAAGCCGCGGGACTGAACCTCCCGCGGGACACAAAATTGGGGCTCATTCGGGCGATCTTTTCTTCTCTTTCTCTGTGTCAATCCCGAAGGAGAGAAGCGTAATCTACACACATCACGACAGGACCACCGCGCCGACCGCATACGCCCTGGAAACTCGCAAGAAGTGCAAACTCCCGACCTGTGAGCGGGAGTGGGCTCGCGGTGACGCAACGTGACGGGACATTAAGCCATCGCCGTGCTCGGCCCTGAGCATTATTGCGCTCCCATCGCCGCGGAGGACATCGCTCCGGCTTCTCGGAGCCTTGAATTCGTACCGCAACGGCTACTCCGCCTCCGGGCCTCGTCCTTCCTCATTCAAAGACGGACAGCGCGGGATGGGAAAAGTGCGTGGGAAGCAACCCGTCGCCCGGTCACCCGGTCATCGCGGGCTCCCCTCGCTCGCGCTAGGAGAACTACTTAATAACGGAAGTAGCTGCCTCCAGTCACTCCTCCTGCCTCCATTCACGTGGATTCCACAGATTTTAGCTCAGGCACTCAACTCAATGTCTAAATTATTTAACTCGACAGAAGTACTCACAAGCCAAAACTATTTCATAGTTCTGGCTTGTGAGGTCACACATGTACCCAAGCTCCTTGCGCTCTTGACCGGTCTCCTGATGTATTTTATCAACTTGGACATGTGAAAATCAATACTTGCAGGAGGGAATACATACTTTTAATCATTCAAGATCTTTTATCAAATGAAAGTTGGCAACCTTCCCATCTATCATTTACTAAGAAAAGCACATCTTACATATTATAATGCAAGAAAAACTTTCTGAAATGTTATAAAAGACAACATACGTCCCCTTTTTCACATTTTAAATCAAAGGCTTACTATAACATATGAATTATTATTTCTTATATTTAGAATTATAAGAATAAAAATCTAAATGATACAAATTTTGTGTTTATAACACTTTATTCTACAATTCTGATCTTTTTGTATGGTTAATCATCAAATTTATAGGATATTAAATCGTATCTAAAATACTATTTTTCTATTAAGAAAACCAGAAAAAGATGCAAATTTTCTGTAACAAATTTGGTTGTTTATCAATAACTTTTATTCTATCAACTAAGCTCTATGCAAGTTTGAATTCTAACTTATAGACTTTTTGGAATATCCCGTAAGGAAGTGACATGATGGTGTTATAAATCCAAATATTTGAATATTGTAAACTATTTTTTGGTAAAGGCAAGTTAATTTTTAGTTTATGTTTATTTTGCCTCATGCTACAAGAATAATATAAATTGCTTAAGAATGGAGGTATGTGATTGGTGAGAGTGATCTCATTTCAAAATTAACACACTCCATCGTCAGAGATCTGTGCTATTGACAGTGCAAGCTTACGCGTTAAGTCAAGACTACACCATTGTGATTAGGTTCAGACTCAAACTTGGTAAGAAGAAAGATAAAGCTATCAAGAAACTCAATTTTGTGTATTTTCATTGTAACAAATCAGTTGTCTATGAAGTTACTCGCTAACGCAACACATTGAAACGTAGCACTGGTTGTGAATTCAAACCAAAGATCAACAGTATAATAATCGCCAATGAAGAAAGATGAGGGATAATTATCATACACCAAAGTAAAACTTGCATTTCCTTTTTTTTTAACATATCAAAAGTACTTAAATAGTCTCAAATGCTATCATTTGTGTTAAGTATTCATCTTAACTCCTAATCTCTTCGACTATATCACTACAAGAAATATTCAAAATATGAGGAGTTTCATTCTATAACTATAGATAGAAACTTTAAAGTTACCTCATCTTTCTACCCTAGCATTGTTGCATGCCTAGCCACATAGTATGATAACCTATATATATATATAATACTAATGTGAACATGAATTAAACATCTAGGCAGAAAAATAATTTTTGACTAAGAATAAGTTAAACTTGATCATTTATTATTATGATAGTCAGTATCATTAATTTTTGATTTTGTTAAAAAATTACTTATGAACTTTCCACTAACTTCATGTATATTTATACAACATTTGACATAAAATCATTTTTCAATGATTGAGGGTGTATATATATATACTCATTTTGCAATATATATCCAAATGACAAAATAGCTTAAATATGAACGAACCTACCATGATTTGCTAGTTATGTTAGCAGCTAATGAATTGTAGTTTCCAAATTGTATGAAGTTCATTGTCCTAAAATGCCAAGCTTTTGTCCTGGTTCACGGTCGACGCTTAGCCTGCTGACTGGTTTGGGTTTAATCAATTGGTTGTGACTACTAAGGAAACGAGAACTTGCTCTTACTTAGTAGACACAAGGGTGATTTCTAAGATTTCTTTTAACAAAATGAGAATAAATATAAAAACTTATACTATGACAAAATTTAAATTGATATATTTATCTTGTATCCTTTTCACAATTACATTCTTAACAAAAATTTATAATCTTTTCATTGCATTGTTGATGTATACTAAAAAAAATATAGTGTACAAAATGAGAGTTTTTGTAAACTTACTCATTGTTGTACATACTTTGGAACCTAATTTAGATCTGATAGTTTAAACGAGTGTTGTTTCACATGAAATGGTTATAGATTTAGAGGCAGGAGCTAAACACCAAATAGGTCTTTCGGGTTCTGAATTAGTTTGCATTGTTTACTTGTCTATATGTTCACTATGCCAACAATATTACTTGTTACAAAAAGACAATGTCGTGAGAATACGTATCGCCACACACTCTACATCACTGACATGCTACTCTCACACACACTCAGGACACGAGAACGTACACACTCAATTGTATCACAACTACAAGCAACATATTTTTCCAAGTCCAACTACACTAACTCGCTTTCTACTCACCTTATTGATTACGAGGTAGTGCCTCTCCTTGGGCTACCTCCCGTCATAGATGTACTGATGAGCGGCGGGATTAGAGAGAGACGTCCACCTTGTCGAGCCCCATAATGTTGTTCCACACGATCTCCACATTCAGAAGCTTGGCCAGCAACTCTTGATTAACCCACGGCCTTACATCCGTGACCACTTCTCAAATCAACTATTTACACTGTCGCCACAACCAGCTACAACATCATTTGACACCAAAACCTAATGAAAAAATGAATCAAAACTTCTGAAACGATGTATCGTGTAAAACGAATCCTGAAGAATTTTGCTACTTAGAACCTCTGAAGTTCTTCGAGTGAATATACATGTTTTTCTCCACTGGAAAACACGTCAGTGTTAATTATCCCACTGGCAGTAATACCGTCACAAGTACACAAGTCGAGCCCAATCCACTCCGAAGAGACTTCATGTCGGTGCTTACGGGTAGTTGCTCTCCTCCCAACGCTAGAGGCACGACTCGAAGAACTGACATTCTTCGAGTCGTCGTCGACCCTACAACCTACGGGAATAGAAACCCTAGCTCAATGTCTAAATTTAGTGAGAAACAAAACTACATGACAACAACAAAAGTTATATGTTTCTGCTAACAAAGATATGTCTTAGCTAAATTGAAATTGTGTCACATATAGTTTAGCTTTCCATACGTTCTCAAGAATCCTCCCAACTACCGGTGAAAAAAAGACGAATACACTTTCCATTTCAGCGATAGAATGGATGAACAAGATAAAAAATTGGAGAGAATTTAACTTCTTATCAAACAACTTTGTATAATTAAAGAAACAAGTTATTCGGCTTGCAATGAATGAGATGATGATGGGTAAATTCTTGGAAAGTTGAATTTTCCTCACATCCAACACGGTATATTCAGAGGTAATAAGTCTGTACCAAAATTTTTTTTGGGACATATTCTATTTTGCAATCAACCATTTTAAATTTCCAAAATCAAATGGTAAAAGAAAAAAGTGAAAAGTTGAATCTTAGTTGTCTTTGAAAAGTGTTCATTCTACAGTGTCACAATGTCAAGCAATGTGCTACATGTTGAACTTATACCTTGTACCAATGTAAACGTCTTCTTCTTCAGGTTTTTTACATAATAAATTATGTTTGATGTTTAATAGTTCATGTTTTATGATTAAAGAAAAACCTCAAAACTCATTGAAAAATGAGCAGATTTTTTGAAAAAATTTCATAATAGTTTAGACACAATTCAATGCATAATGGTTCTTATTTTGCATATGATACATGCCATTTGATTGTTATTTTGCATGCATCGATGGCATTTAAAAAATAATTTGAGTTGTATCACTGAAAATTAATATTTTTTTGGATTAGTTACATTTGATGATTTATTTATTCAGTCTTTGAATTCATCAAACTGAAATGTAAAATGTAAAATTTTTTATTATGTTATTAAATTATATATAATAATTTTATTCAAATCCGTAGACAATTCAAAAATTATTTCTACTAGTTGAAAATATGTTTGAGATATTCTAGAAATGATCAGATCTAATTTCAAAGTATTTGAAACTTTTAATCTTTATTATTTCATGTTGAGATTTGAACAAAAATTCACTTTTTCACATGGTTGCTATGTTCAGGACGATGGTAACATAAAAAAAATTTAATTTTCGTGATTTCTCTTGTGTTGTGTAATAACCCTCAACTTTGATATGGTTATATGAAATTTAGCTAATATGACAGCTTGCAATGAGGGTATGTCTCGAATCGGGTAGTAAGTTACAGTATCCTTGTGCCAATATATTGTTGTTGGCTAACCTTGCTTGTCCTATTTTAGATCATGATCCGTCTAATGAACCCAAGTATAGTTGGATCGATGTGCATTGCCAGAATAACCGCAGAGGAGTATATCTTTAACTAGGGGCCACTTTTCCGTACTGTAAATTATATGGTTTCAATACATGAGCTATACCACAGTTTTCTTTCTTTCTGGTCATCAATATGTAGTATGAACATATATAATTTTGTGGGTTGTGTGAGACAGTTGTTTAATTTTTTTTTAAAAAGATCTTTAGTCTGTTGGTAGACTTACAAGCTACTTGGCGTCTTTCATACTATTGTGAAGTTTGAAAAGATGTAAGCAAACCACAATTAACCGAACTGCGGCAAGTAAATCTACCACATGTGATGAGAACAAATATAGTGCCACTTGATGAGCAGAAATTCAAGAGTCTTAATATTGTCAGGTAGTATATTTTTCATCTTCAGTTACGTATAGTAAGCCTTGACTATGAACTATGATAGTTTCAACAAAATTCAAGTGAGATTGTGTATTATGAATAAAAAATAGCTCCATATTTCGGAACCACAATGTCAATATCTTGGCTATGATGGGGTGGGATAACTGCAAATTTTGATCATTATAAAGAGCATAACATGAAACATAAAGTATATCGGTATATCGATAGCTGTGCCCTCCTCGTTACTTCAAAGGAGATTCGGCAAGGCTACGGAGAATCGACGCAGGGTTAAGATTTCTTTCACTCGATCTGGAATATAAGCATTCTCTCTTTGACTATGATGATGATTAAAACTAGTCTAAACGTATAAACTATAGGTTATTCAATGATATCAAGGATATCCTAGATTCTGATGAAACCTATACTTTAAGAAACTTATCTGCTCCACACGTCTAAACTCTCACAAGCATAGTTGATGATAGCATCGCACGAAAAAAGATACGCACAGTTCATTCTCTTAACATCGACTGATGTTTCATGTCGATTTGGAGAGCAGGTATAGGCCACAACAAACGTCTGATAAGATGTGTCAACGCCGTCAAATTTTATTTCCACTTTTGTCAGTTATAATCTCCAATTTTTCTTCAGTTGACTAATGTTCTGCCAAAGTGCAAATTCAATATATCTAGTTAATTAAGTAAGTTGTGCAATTTCGCAACTTAAGAGCCGTTCGCGGAGATTAAGAAGTTTCAGAAGACAAAGTAGACACTAACTTTAACAGAGTCGGCTTTAGTGAGAAACACTACACTTCAAAAAGACTCCAACGTACCATGTTTCCGTGTCGTGTGCTCTACTGCGTTGGGGGTGGCGCCAAGGTTGGGTCCACGCACAATTCACACATGTGGTGCCGATGAGAGGTCTTCTGCTACATGTCTGGCCGGCTAGTCGGTTGGCTTTTACCGCAACGTGTGCACTGGCTCTAAACCCTGAGCTATTAGGTTCACAGCTAGGCGACTACGAACTTGTTTAGACTTTTTCCATGATAGTGGTTAGCTATGCCAAAAGTTGGGGTTGGCTGATGGCAGTATGTTTGACTTTCTCTTCGCCGATGTTCCAGCTGAGAAATCAACTCGATCCAGTAAAGTACAAATCCCATGTACGTGTAATCAGTGGAGGCATGTGGACCTCGATTCGTGAGCGTATGCATTGATGGTGTCGTTGTTCACAGCTACTACTAGCCAAATGATGACCGAATATTAGCTCGGAATGGTCACTAAATTTTCGGTGGCCAGAGCCATGCACCGCTCCGGTTCACAGCAATATTCACCTCGGTGCGTGCGATGAGAAATTATGTGCGAAGAATTTTCAGCTCAAAGCATCGTATCAAGCATAAACAAGAACATGAGAATAATGAAGAGAAGCCGGGATAGCGACGACGATCTCAGATCGAATGCATAGTGTGCAGAGAAGAGGATGGACATGGATTCCTAATCCACCAAATACCGTTGAATGAGAGAACCGAGGGGGAATTTACAAGGTTCACGGAACGGTGGTGAGGGCTAGAAAAAAATCATACTATAATCTAGAAAATGGTGACTGTAATGACCAGCACCCAAATTCAATCTGCCTACAAGTTCTGGCAGTCCGCAGGTACCCAGCCGATCTGTAAATTATCTTCGTCGTAGAGCACTTGGAAATTCTGCTGCTGAACGTTGCCGAAAATGCTGATCCCAGTGGACTCAAGCAATGCCAAGCACATGACAGTGTCAGTGCCGGTGGTGGTGAACAGAAGCATAATATTCTCGAACGGCAGGTCGAAATCTGCGGCCTCGAAATTGAACACCATGTTGGGGATGCTCACGGTCTGGGCGGTCGAAATGTCGTAGCACACTTCGAGCCCCGTCAGGTCCAGGAAGTCGACGCGGGGGTACGTGGAGCCGAGCTGCGCCACGAAGGTGTCGACGACGCTACGGTAGGCGACGGTGTTGAGGAGCGTGTACGTGGTGCCGGAGTCGAAGATGAAGCCGCCGTTGCCGTTGGCGTCGATGGCGAAGGCCGAGGCCGGGATGTTCAGCGCCTGCGAGCCGACTGTGACGTCCAGCAGGTTGACGTAGTAGTACGGGATGACGCTGGGCTCGTACGGAGTCAGCTGGGGCGTGAACAGCGTGCCGCTCACGTTGGCCGGCACAGCGCTCTCGCCGAACAGCAGCGGACTGCGGGCCGAGTCGGCGTCGTAGCGTCCGAGCAGGCAGTAGGAGAATTTGTTGACGTTGTTGAGGAACGGTGCGATCTGCGACGGGAACGAGATGGGCCCGCGCGCCAGCCCGACCAACCCGTCCGTGCCCGTGAACGATCCCTGGTTTCTGAGCCCGCAGCCGAATTGGAAATTGTTAATGGCCGTCGAGGTGCCGTCGGTGTTCTGCAGAGTGAGAGTCTCGAGCGAGAAATCTCCCTGCGTCGTGGATTGATCGCCATATCTGTACGTGTACTGGCAATTCGGCGTGCACAAAAGCTCGTTGCCTCCCAGGACGGCGCATCCAGTGCATCCCAGCGGGGTGTACGTGGAGGAGAGCGCCGGGTCGAAGAGCGTGGCGTTGAAGCAGACTTCACACGTCGAGCACTGCAGCCAGACGAGGTCGCTGCCCGTGTCGGCGATGGCGATGAAATTCTGTGGCGGGGTGCCGAGTGAGATTTCCATCGAGTACGAGCCCGGCGTGGCTTCGATGTCCGAGGTGAAGTCCAGCATGCGCCGGCCCTTGTGATTGTGGTATGGCGCATTCCTTGCCTTGCGATCCAGCGACTTGCCCCGGGCTATGCTCGCGTCCACGTCCCGGTGCACCTTTTGTAATATTGTGTAATTCTCCGTGCCCAGGTAGGCGCTCGTGACAATCAGGTTCGCCCTCCACCCTTTGCCCGTCGTGGTCACAGTTTCTTCCTTGGGCGTCTCTCCCAGATGTCGTCCCGTGTGCAGGTGCGAGCTATGGGGGCGTTTCAAATGCGTCGTTACCCAGCCCGTTTGTTGATTGTTGAATGCTGCACAGAAGTAGGCTTGAACGGCCAGCAGCACTAAAATTGAAAGAATCGCCCTCGAAGCCATATTCAGCCACTTGAGCTTCAAAAATATGCTACACAAGTTTTCTACCGCTGGCGAATCGGGTAGTGTTCAGATTTCAGATACAGAAATCAGAGGTCAGTTACAGGACAACAAAACTGTCACCTGGATATGTACACCGAAGACAGTCTTCGTGTGCGAATCCTGACGAGAGTAAAACCTGTCAAATTGGAAAACTACAAAAAAGGACAATTGCGAAGCAATGTGCAAAAACTCCGCTTTGAATCTGCAGCAGGACTCAGTGGACACTAGTTTTTGATCTCTAGGCAACCACACATGTGGCTGTAAAGAATTTTCTAGGTGAGGAAAGAAGAGAAGGAGGAGGAGGAAGAGGAAGAGGGAGGAGATGCACGGAGTCCACACTCTGCAAGCAATGTTTTGGCATGAGAGCGAGTCTGAGACATCTTATAGTCTGTGGAGTCTGGCCGAAGAAGAAGCCCATGTAAGGTGCCGGGAAGGTTGGGCCAGGTACGGGGGACGGCAGTCACTTCCACAAGAAAGGGTCAGCTGTCTAAGAAGCTGAGTCTGTATCGTAGGAATGTTACTGTGAAGTGAAGCAGCATAGATTCCGGGGCCACCTGTCGATGGCCTTCCTTCACTCGGGCCTCAGATGCCACCGTCCGTTGGAGCGGGTGCATTATGTCCAGCTTCGGGCCTAATAGTGATAAGAAAAGCCGTTTCTTCGGAGTTACTGTGGATTTACATCTAATCATGAACCGGATTATCTGCGGCACAAGCAGACGAGAGGCCTTCTCCCCTTTTAGGAAGAAGGTCATGACGTGGAAGCCTCCTTCAGATGTGGCTACTCGTTAGCTTTCTGAAGGGACAATGGTCATTAGGTGGTCAGTACTGTAACTCCGAGTGAGAGATTTTGGTCTCTCTGGGGAAGAAAGAAGGTCGGAAGTAGCGGGGAAGCTTCCTCCAGCTTTTGCTTTTACACTTGGCAGCTTTTGTTGCGAAGTTTCATTGACTCGGTTTACGATTGGCACGAAGAAACTTCTCTCCGCAGTCTCATGGATGGAATCTGATGGAATGATATGATGCCTCCGAGAGTTCCAAAAACTAGTCACGAAAGCTTTCAAGGACTGTCCAAGCGTTTGGTCTTCCAGACTTTCGTGGCCTACTTTTGGTGCGGTAAGCTGGCATGAGTTTTCCCTCGATATTCACTCGCTTTTGCCAGCAAGGTTACCACTAAAAACCTACGCTCTCTCCTCATGAAACTTGGATTAGGAATCCCCTCGCAACAGCTGCGAGGCCAGTTGACTGAAGCAGTTGATCTGACTCCCTCCCGCACAGGCCAATTGACTTTAATCTCATAAAAATGAAGAAAATTTTCTGTCAGTGGCAGGATTCAGTTATTGCTGTCCTCATATATTACATCTGAATTTCATAGAAAGGTGCCACCCACCAGTAGAACCGATCGGCTCGAATCTTCCTAGCAACTCTAATAATTAATGATTAGCAACCACCTTAGTTCGACGTACTTAAGTGGTGTAATTAAATTCCATGTCAAATTAGGAGGTTTTAAAACTCATTCCTGCGACGGAGAACCAAGCAGCAGCTCTTGCATGACAGGACTGGGCAGATCGAGGACACTGACCTTGTGTTTCCCCCATTTCAGAGTGACAGAAAAAAGTTCATCAAGGTCTCCGCATGACACAGGAGGGCGGGTCCAGTGATATGGCTCCACATGACATGTACACATTTAAGAGGAAATTAATTATTTCTGACCGCAAGCCGTGTTAGAGAGGGACTGGATCCGGACTCGAAGGCAGGCCATGGCAAACTGTTGTCGAGTATTTGGAGTATGTGGACGTGTCCAGGTCCAGCATTTCAAGTTGAGGGCGTCATTCTCTGCTGGTACCATTGAAGAAATCAGCGTACCAGGTGTTGTCCTCTTTCGCGCAGGCACTTTTCTGTGATGCGAATCAGCTTTAGCTTCAGCGTCGCCGCATAAGGAGTAGGGTGGTAGGGACTGAATCGGGGATGGGGGCAAACACCGTCCAGATCTTTGTCCAAGGTGATCGGCGGTGATGACGATGATGCTGCTGCTGCGAACACGAGGGCTTTGGGAGCTGATTCCTACAGGGCCCAAATCTTCGACTTTGGTTCCGTCAATAATTGCAACTGTTTAAAAATTTATAGTTTTCACGACGAAATTAGACAATCTTTCTTTCGAATCGTTCGCCTAGATCATTCGTTCTACTACCCTCCCCTAGGACCCAAAATCTTCGAGTTTGGTTCTGTCAATAATTGCAACTGTTTAAAAAATTATAATTTTCACGAGGAAATTAGACAATTTTTCTTTCGAATCGTTCGCCTAGAGCGTTTTTCTTCCCTCCCCTGGGGCCACCATCAGTGCGCAACAATTCCGACGAACTTCGATTCGTGCGGCCTCATGGCTTTCCGAAGCAGAGTCGTGGACTGGACGAGCAGGAGAATTCGAATCAGTTCAGAACAATTACTCGTCCGCCGCTCGTCATCAAACACGGGACATTAGGGCGACTCGCCAACATTCGGAAAAATCCTGCCATTAATTTTAGGACGAGAAAACAATAACTATCGGTTTGTCAGGGGGCCAGGAGGCGTCGTTGGCGGCTGGGATGCTAATTCCGATATTCTCGTAGATAGGGCCTGCCAGATTTCCCGGAGTCGCCGCATTGATGGCGTCAAAGCCTTCGAATTGAGGACCGTACGAAGCAATTGCAGCTGATTGGCTCGGCGTGTGGGGCTCGACGCCTGGGCTCGTACGATTCATGCACTTTTGAGGTCCCCGGCACGGAGTCAATCTTCGCAGAGGCCCCCGGCAGGTCCGGCCTCAGGCGACCGCGATCGCCATCATCGTCGGTACAGCACACGCTGCGATGCAGACAGCGAGCTCTGTCCCGATCGACGGGAGGATCAGTACAGCCCAGCCTCGACGGTTTGCACCGTGCCAACTCCTCGTCGACGACGACGACCACAGGTGCTGCTGCTGAACATGAAGTTGCCGATTTGCCCTGCCATAACCCCATAGCCCCATAGCCCGGCATCTTCGAGGTCGAGCCTCAGCATGCCCGGACACGATCTTCTGAGGTCAAAGGCGCATCAACGATTCAGAGTGCGTTCAACGTCAACTCCACGCTTGGACTTGGACTGTGGTGCGGACCGACCCGACTTAGAACGCTTCGACATCACGTCTACCAGATTCCTTCCTTCATTCCTTCCCGTAACCAAGTAACCAATCAACCGAGTACCGAAGTACCGGTTCCAGGTGAATAGCAAAAAGGACCGAATTAACCACCAAGCGTTACAAAGAAATACGAGCATATATGTATGTGTTTGTGCATGTATAGGATTTATTTATAGCATAGAGCTTAGAGGAACGGGGCCAAATGTGAATGTATTTAATTCGGAAAGATACATCAGACCAGGTTATTTTGGTAGCCAAGAGAATGGATATGGTTAATATTCTCTGATATATTCTTCCTCTGACTGCCACTCGGCCTTTGAGCTGCCCGACTCTAAGTTCCTTGCTGGGAAGTACCGGGGAACCTTGAGGAGCATACATACCTTGGAGTGAAGTATAATTGATGATCTGCCTGGCAACCTGAGCCCAACATTAAGTGCCCATGCCCAAACGCACCCATCCCCATGGGTTTTGGGTAACATTATTTTTCCTTGGGTGGGCATAAGTACAGTAATGCTATGGGCAGTGTTTGTGAGATCAGGTAATACGCATAAGTTATGCGTATTACTTATTGTGATATGCGGCATATCACAATTGGCCTTACTTGAATAGCATGGGTGGGCACAGGTAATGCTATGGGTGGCTGCTGATAGTTATGGTCTGGGTGCACAATTGAAGTAAAATGTTGGCCTCTGCTGGCAAGAGCAGCTTTCTTCCTCATGTATAACCTCTTCGTTGTGGGATCTAATATTTTCTGCTCACTTCCACATTAAATGTCTTACCCTTGATTCTCACTACCAACTTCTTCCTCAACTTTTACGATTTTCAGTACTCCCAGCACTCGTCTTTCGTTTTCTCGACGTTGTTTGTTTGTTTGCTTGTTTTGGTTGTGTCACTGGGGATCGGAATTGACATTGTAATATTTTCGGCAAGCGAGCTTCGTTTGGTCATTGGTTATGCTACTAAGGTATCTTATGTAAACCTAGACAAGGTTCTCAATGCAGAATTTGACTCACGAAATGAGCTTGGTAATTTTACTTCTAGAAGATTCCTTCCACACAACCAGACGGCACTGGCTTCACTTTCTCATCTACGATTAACAATATGAGGTATCCTTCTGAAACATAGTTTCAAGTTCCAACTTATCTTTCTTGTGAAGTATTTTATTCACAATTTGTCCTATCATACTTGAAACACATTACATTTTTATCATGTTTTAACAAAATAGTCAAATAATTCGAATAAGAATTTTCCAGTTTTTGGTTGATCGTAGAATTATAAACATCATTTTCTAGATTACTAGCGAGCATGATGTTCTTATTACGACGCATAAGATGATGAGTTAGCATGTATTAAAAAAGATGAGTGTCATTAGTTGATATTTTTGCAAGAAATTTGGAAAAAATTTGAACAAATATCACTATTCCTTTTTGGGATAATTATTTTTATGAGCTTATGTTATTTTGTAAATAATTTCAACATTCGATAGTTAATATGTACTCAATTTCGTATTTTTTAAGTCTATTTTCTTGAATTTTTGTAATATTATGTGATATGTTTTATTTTTTCATACATCATCATATCAATCATAAGAAAATATTGAACACGAGTTTTCGGTACACATGAGTTGGTATCAGTCAATAAAAAGAAAAGAAAAGAAAAGATCGAAATTAAGCATAATATATATCCTAAAAATCTATCTTCAACAGATCCATATACACACATTTGGTATTCCACGCATCTTCATAGCTAACAAAAAAAAGTATGATGTGGATAAACATTCACTTCAGGCTTTGACCAGAGGTAAGTTCCTATATAGTCTGTAATACATTTGTTGATCTTACATATCATACCTGCCATCCAACATTATCTTCGTACTGATGTAACTGCGATATGTTGTGATAACTATTGGTGATTTAATTCAATAAAAAAATGAAACTATGACTTGTCATAGTATATGATCAGAAAATAAAAACATGGATTACACCTTGATTCTTAAGTAATGTCGAGTTGAGAAAATAGGGAACATATTTAGCTTGCTCACCAATTAAATGAAGATACGCCATATATTCTGGCATTGTCCATTGGACCACTCAACTGGAGAGCGTAAAACGATGGAAGAAAAGCGTAGCATGCTCTGATGCTTGTTAAGGGTTATGAAACCAAACTTGATTTACGTCATGTATTATTTTTGATGGATTATTCCCATCAGTTTTGCTATTCGTCGGTCAAAACCCTTGGACTTCAAATCTTTCTTCTGTTAGTGATAACTCATGTCGTGTATAGCCCGAAAAACTCCGTTTCAGGGTTTCTGCTTGAAGTGCGAGACATAGCTCGCCCTGAACATTATCTCAGTTTTTGACAATAAATTATTATGTTCCTGTTAAGGAGGTAACCAGAGACAACTAAATGTCGTCGGCGTCGAGTCTGCTTACGTTCTATGTTTTCGATGTTCTCGTGAATTTTCTCGCGACATAATACTTCCTTATTGAGATAATCTGTGAGTCTTAATTTAATGAATGTGTTGGATTAGATGGAGAGTCTGAATGGGTATTGAAGACATTGTGTAATAGTTTCTCGGACCGGCTTATTTGATTATTAGATCTGCGAGGTTCCAAACTTGTTCGAGTTA